TTGACACACTAAAATGTGTTGCCTACTCACAAAATTTTAATGCCAACATTACATGAATAGCATGTATTTAAAAAGTTATAAATACATTTGAAATTGTGTTCAAGTTAAAAAGTCAGACCTGTTTTATGAGCATGTCCGCCTTAAAGTTATAATCAATTCAAATACTAAATATTTTTTAGAACCTAACGTATTTTCTTTCTGAAGTGATTTTGTTAATAACTTGCATACAGAACCCTTGCCCTTGGTCAAGACAATTAAACAAGGTGCTACACAAATACGGTCAATTTGGAAACTATCATCTATTATAGTAACTGACGCCCTTAAGTCAGACACCTTATACTTCGTGTCCCTACTCATACCTTTATTGGAGCATAAAGAGTACTTTGACGAGTTCAAAATTCCTCAGAAACTATAATTCCAGTGTAATCACTTTCAAAGTAAACAACATTTCTTATATTTTATGAAGATTGAATTAAAGTACACATGATAAATGGTATTTCTAATATGACGTTATTCTTTCCCTTTGGAAACAAAGCTATATTCTTATTCCAATAGAACATGGGTTGCACATGATTGACATCACAATTGAAATAACAATGTCAGTTGTATTTTAAACAAGATCAAAATGGACATTTGTGTTGGGTGTTGCGTGTTGGCAAATTAAATAAATTCATTCTAAGAGTAAGTTTACATGTATCTGTTCATTTTTTTTATCATGAAACAGTTGATTTTCTACAAGGTTTTGGTTTCATCAAATCAAATGGTTTCTCTTCGAACGTGTAGTTTAGGTCCGCTTTGAGGTACAAAAGTTCTAAATTTTTCTATTAGAATTGAAAGAATTTCATCATGTCATGCTATATGCTCATTTTGACATCAGTAGACATTCTATTTGTCAACATTTTACACCTCGCTAATGCTCGGTGTAAAGTTATTGACAAATATAATGACTACCTAAACTAAAATTAGCATAAACCATGACATGAAAGAACTATTTCTTAAATAATATAGGTCAAATTTAGATGTGAAAATGAAGCTGTGAACTTAATATGTGTTAGATAGTTTAATACTAGGAAATTAATCTGATGACCAACTAATGGTTTGTACGTCAAGCTATGACATCATAATAATTTTATAATAGAGTTCCAATGTCCCCCCCCATTGCACATATTTTATCTATCTAGAGCAATAACTAAAAAAAATACTTTCTGTTTTTTGTTCTTAAAACTTTTTACAAATATCTTAAGAGAAATGAAGGCTTGAGAGCAAATGCAATGCAATTTTCCATATAATTAATATTTTCAAGGGGCATAACTCTTTTAAAATTAATTGCTTTGCACTGATTTTTGAACTTGTCCGAGACATTGCTGATATAAACCTATGATATAAGTTTCATATAAATCTGGCAAGAATTGTACATGAGAGCACTAACACTGAAATGTTCCATATAATTAATATTTCCAATGGGCATAACTCTTTTAAAAATAGTTGATTAGCACTGATTTTTTAACTTGTCACGACATTGCTGATATAAACCTATGATTTAAGTTTTATAAAAATCTGGCATAATTTTACATGTGAGAGTGTCTTATACTGGACGGACACTTGGTATTCAATATTGTTGACATGTGAGAGTGCTAACAAGACTGGACGGATACTTGGTATTCAATATTGTTGACATGTGAGAGTGCTAACAAGATTGGACGGATACTTGGTATACAATATTGTTGACATATGCATGTCAGACATATTTACTTTGCAACATTTTTTCAAGAAATCGTTTATAAAACTAGAGCATAAAAATTCTGTTGACAGTGAATGACTGAGAGGTCTACATATAACAAATGGCCATAACTATTTACATTCACCTAGGACAGTTGTTGTAGGACATATATTGATAATGATATTTGCATAGTTAAATTAAATAAAAAATAGATAAACCAAAAGACATTTAATACTGATCTAAATGTCAACATACAGTCTTTAGCAATAGGACAGGAATGTTTAATACTGATCTAAATGTCAACATACAGTCTTTAGCAATAGGACAGGTATGTTTAATTCAGATCTAAATGTCAACATACAGTCTTTAGCAATAGGACAGGTATGTTTAATTCTGATCTAAATGTCAACATACAGTCTTTAGCAATAGGACAGGTATGTTTAATTCTGATCTAAATGTCAACATACAGTCTTTAGCAATAGGACAGGTATGTTTAATTCTGATCTAAATGTCAACATACAATCTTTAGCAATAGGATAGGTATGTTTAATTCTGATCTAAATGTCAACATACAGTCTTTAGCAATAGACAGGTATGTTTAATTCTGATCTAAATGTCAACATACAGTCTTTAGCAATAGGACAGGTATGTTTAATTCTGATCTAAATGTCAACATACAGTCTTTAGCAATAGGACAGGTATGTTTAATTCTGATCTAAATGTCAACATACAATCTTTAGCAATAGGACAGGTATGTTTAATTCTGATCTAAATGTCAACATACAGTCTTTAGCAATAGACAGGTATGTTTAATTCTGATCTAAATGTCAACATACAGTCTTTAGCAATAGGACAGGTATGTTTAATTCTGATCTAAATGTCAACATACAGTCTTAAACAATAGGACAGGTATGTTTAATTCTGATCTGAATGTCAACATACAGTCTTTAGCAATAGGACAGGTATGTTTAATTCTGATCTAAATGTCAACATACAGTCTTTAGCAATAGGACAGGTATGTTTAATTCTGATCTAAATGTCAACATACAGTCTTTAGCAATAGACAGGTATGTTTAATTCTGATCTAAATGTCAACATACAGTCTTTAGCAATAGACAGGTATGTTTAATTCTGATCTAAATGTCAACATACAGTCTTTAACAATAGGACAGGTATGTTTAATTCTGATCTAAATGTCAACATACAGTCTTTAACAATAGGACAGGTATGTTTAATTCTGATCTTAATGTCAACATACAGTCTTTAACAATAGGACAGGTATGTTTAATTCTGATCTAAGTGTCAACATACAGTCTTAAACAATAGGACAGGTATGTTTAATTCTGATCTGAATGTCAACATACAGTCTTTAGCAATAGGACAGGTATGTTTAATTCTGATCTAAATGTCAACATACAGTCTTTAGCAATAGGACAGGTATGTTTAATTCTGATCTAAATGTCAACATACAGTCTTTAGCAATAGACAGGTATGTTTAATTCTGATCTAAATGTCAACATACAGTCTTTAACAATAGGACAGGTATGTTTAATTCTGATCTAAATGTCAACATACAGTCTTTAACAATAGGACAGGTATGTTTAATTCTGATCTAAATGTCAACATACAGTCTTTAGCAATAGGACAGGTATGTTTAATTCTGATCTAAATGTCAACATACAGTCTTTAGCAATAGGACAGGTATGTTTAATTCTGATCTAAATGTCAACATACAGTCTTTAGCAATAGGACAGGTATGTTTAATTCTGATCTAAATGTCAACATACAGTCTTTAGCAATAGGACAGGTATGTTTAATTCTGATCTAAATGTCAACATACAATCTTTAGCAATAGGATAGGTATGTTTAATTCTGATCTAAATGTCAACATACAGTCTTTAGCAATAGACAGGTATGTTTAATTCTGATCTAAATGTCAACATACAGTCTTTAGCAATAGGACAGGTATGTTTAATTCTGATCTAAATGTCAACATACAGTCTTTAGCAATAGGACAGGTATGTTTAATTCTGATCTAAATGTCAACATACAATCTTTAGCAATAGGACAGGTATGTTTAATTCTGATCTAAATGTCAACATACAGTCTTTAGCAATAGACAGGTATGTTTAATTCTGATCTAAATGTCAACATACAGTCTTTAGCAATAGGACAGGTATGTTTAATTCTGATCTAAATGTCAACATACAGTCTTAAACAATAGGACAGGTATGTTTAATTCTGATCTGAATGTCAACATACAGTCTTTAGCAATAGGACAGGTATGTTTAATTCTGATCTAAATGTCAACATACAGTCTTTAGCAATAGGACAGGTATGTTTAATTCTGATCTAAATGTCAACATACAGTCTTTAGCAATAGACAGGTATGTTTAATTCTGATCTAAATGTCAACATACAGTCTTTAGCAATAGACAGGTATGTTTAATTCTGATCTAAATGTCAACATACAGTCTTTAACAATAGGACAGGTATGTTTAATTCTGATCTAAATGTCAACATACAGTCTTTAACAATAGGACAGGTATGTTTAATTCTGATCTTAATGTCAACATACAGTCTTTAACAATAGGACAGGTATGTTTAATTCTGATCTAAATGTCAACATACAGTCTTAAACAATAGGACAGGTATGTTTAATTCTGATCTGAATGTCAACATACAGTCTTTAGCAATAGGACAGGTATGTTTAATTCTGATCTAAATGTCAACATACAGTCTTTAGCAATAGGACAGGTATGTTTAATTCTGATCTAAATGTCAACATACAGTCTTTAGCAATAGACAGGTATGTTTAATTCTGATCTAAATGTCAACATACAGTCTTTAACAATAGGACAGGTATGTTTAATTCTGATCTAAATGTCAACATACAGTCTTTAACAATAGGACAGGTATGTTTAATTCTGATCTAAATGTCAACATACAGTCTTTAGCAATAGGACAGGTATGTTTAATTCTGATCTAAATGTCAACATAGTCTTTAATAATATGACAGGTATGTTTAATTCTGATCTAAATGTCAACATACAGTCTTTAACAATAGGACAGGCATGTTTAATTCTGATCTAAATGTCAACATACAGTCTTTAACAATAGGACAGGTATGTTAATCTTCTACTGCACAGCAAAATTAGCTGAAAATACATTTACAGACAAAATCCAATACCTACATCAGATAATTCATATCTACATCTTATGTGTTACAACTTTTACAAGCAAGACAAAAATTATCGATATATTTAGCAAAATATCTTACCGATAGTCACAATGATCACACTTATATGGTTTTTCATTGGTGTGACGATATCGAAGGTGGGACTTCAAACTTGATGGTGTTGGACAGGTCATTTCACAACAAGGACACTTGTATTGATTGACTATAATGATAAAATAATATAGTATTAAAGTCTATACATTCATTTCATCGTATAGATAGTTTTCTATTGACACAATTATTTGAATATGCATTATTTCCCTTTTGTCGCCATGTTGGAGGTCTACCTGCACAAATTCCTTTATTAATCAACTTGATGTGCAGACCGCTAGACTTCAGAAAAAATTTTTTTCTTTGAGCCTTGCTCAATTTATCACTATGATCGAATAAGGGTCTTTTATCAGACTGTTTCAATTTGGTTAGTCAAATAAGAAAATCAACCATTTAGCGTCCAACATGGCGACCAAAAGAAACAACTCAACTCAATCAAAACATAAGTATTTTGAGAAGAAACAGAAGGGATATTTGTTTTTAATCTAATCTGTTTCTTTGTTTTACTCTTTTAAATCAAATCAATCTGAAGAATATGAGTTTTTCTGGAACTAGTAAATCAATTTTGATCTGAAACAGTCATTTTTAAAAAAGTCTGAACTCAGGTAAAATTTATTGTTCAGACTTTTCAGATGATGTTAAGATCAAAATGATTATTTAAGACTAAAATCCATTTATTATATGGACCATTATAGTAAAGCACAAAATGTTTGACGGGAGAGTCTTGGAAAGTAAAAATAAATGTCTGGCAAGTAGTATAGGTCATGGTTTGAAAGCCATCTTTTCCCTAAAATGAAATAAGTATTGTAACTGGCATGAAGCAATTGTGTCAAGTTTCAATGCATTGCACAATACTCAATAAAATGCTCCGCTAGGTGCAGCTTGATACGACAGCAGAGGTCGAACCCTGAACAGTTTGGGTAAGTATGGACACAACAGTCAAGCTTGATACAGCACTGAATTTGGATTGTGATTAAATATTTGACACATCATAGGTTTCTGACACAGAATGAATGTGGTCTAACTTAAAAAAATTTAATTTACCTATTCAAACCATATCATTATTATTTGCTTTTATATAAAAATCAGAAATAACCAATTTAAAATGAAAATTTTAAAGAAAATAAAATGCTCCGCAGGGCGCAGCTTGATACGACCGCAGAGGTCGAACCCTGAACAGTTGGGGCAAGTATGGACACAACATTCAAGCTTGATACAGCTTTGCATTTGGATTGTGATTAAATATTTGACACAGCATAGGTTTCTGACACAGAATGAATGTGGTCTAAGAACTTAAAAATTTTAAATTGGACATTCACCTATTATGGTCCAATATCCAAAATCTAAATACATGGTTAGATTCAGCATATCAAAGCACCCCAAGAATTCAATTTTTGATGAAATCAAACAAAGTTTAATTTTGGACCCTTTTGACCTCAATGTGGACAAAGTTGATAACGGGGCCCAAAAATCAAAAATCTAAATACATGGTTAGATTCAGCATATCAAAGAACCCCATATATTCAATTTTTGTTGAAATCAAACAAAGTTTAATTTTGGACCCCGATTTGGACCAACTTGAAAACTGGGCCCATAATCAAAAATCTAAATACATGTTTAGATTCAGCATATCAAAGAACCCTAAGAATTCAATTTTTGTTAAAATCAAACTAAGTTTAATTTTGGACCCTTTGGACCTTAATGTAGACCAATTTGAAAACAGAACCAAAAATTAAGAATCTAAATACACGGTTAGATTCGGCATATCAAAGAACCCAATAATTCAATTTTTGATGAAATCAAACAAAGTTTAATTTTGGACCCTTTGGACCTCAATGTGGACCAATTTAAAAACGGGGCCCAAAATCCAAAAACTAAATACACGGTTAGATTCAGCATATTAAAGAACCCCAAGAATTCAAGAATAAAACCCCATTGAAATTGGTCAAGAAATAAGCAATTTATACGAAGTATCTTCTTTTGCACAATACTGTGCAATTAAATATTTCTTGCTATTGCGCAATACTGTACAATTGACAATTTCTTGCTATTGCGCAATAATGTGCTATTGGATATTTCTTGCTATTGCGCAATACTGTGCAATTGAAGATTTCTTGCTATTGCGCAATACTGTGCAATTGAAGATTTCTTGCTATTGTGCAATACTGCAGGGCTGCCAAGTCACACGCATTTAGCGTGAGACTCACGCATTTTCATGCTTATTTGGCGGCATTTTCCTTTGATCTATTGTTTTTTCTCTTTGATCTTTACGATTTTGGACAAATCTCACGCATTTGCATTATTAAAAGTTGGCAGAACTGATACTGTGCAATTGAAAATTTCTTGCTATTGCACAATACTTATTATATAATAATTTACACATCCTGTTTGGTGTGTATCTCCTACCATATTATTATTATTTGCTTTTAAATATAAATCAGAAATAACCAACTTAAAATGGAAAATTTTAAAAAGGAAAAAAAAAAAAAATCCCCCCCCCCAAATTTTTTGAACCCCCTTATGATTCATCACCCCCAAACTCAATCCCAGCCTTCCCTTTGTGGTATGGTACCTTGCAGTACAATTTCAGAGAGATCCATACACTTGAACACAAGTTATTGTCTGGAAACTAGAAAAATGTGTTTTTTGGCCCCTTTTTGGCCCCAAATTCCTAATCGTTTAGGGCAATTACCCCCAAACTCAAACCCAGCTTTCCCTTTGTGATATGGAACCTTGTAGTACAATTTCAGAAAGATCCATACATTTACACACAAGTTATTGTCCTGAAACTAGAAAAATGCTTGTTTTTTGCCCCTTTTTGGCCCCTAATTCCTAAAATATTGAGGCAATTACCCCCATCATCAATCCCAGCCTTCCCTTTGTGGTATGGTACCTTGCAGTACAATTTCAGAGAGATCCATACACTTGAACACAAGTTATTGTCTGGAAACTAGAAAAATGCTTATTTTTGGCCCCTTTTTGGCCCCCAATTCCTAAACGTTTCGGCAATTACCCCAAAACTCAATTCCAGCTTTCCCTTTGAGATATGGAACCTTGTAGTACAATTTCAGAAAGATCCATACACTAACACACAAGTTATGTCTGGAAGTTACAAAAATGCTTATTTTTGGCCCCTTTTTGGCCCCTAATTCCTTTACTGTTGGTACCATAACCCCCAAAATCAATCCCAACCTTCCTTTTGTGGTATGGTACCTTGCAGTACAATTTCAGAGAGATCCATACACTTACACACAAGTTATTGTCATGAACCTAGAAAAATGCTTGTTTTTTGCCCCTTTTTTGGCCCCTAATTCCTAAAATTTTGAGGCAATTACCCCCAAAATCAATCCCAGCATTCCTTTTGTGATATGGAACCTTGTGGTACAATGTCAGAGAGATCCATACACTAACACACAAGTTATGTCTGGAAGTTACAAAAATGCTTATTTTTGGCCCCTTTTTGGCCCCTAATTCCTTTACTGTTGGTACCATAACCCCCAAAATCAATCCCAACCTTCCTTTTGTGGTATTGAACCTTGTGGTAAAATTTCATAGAGATCCATTCACTTAAACTAAAGTTAGAGTGCGAAAACCAATGTGTCTTCGGACGACGCCGGACGACGCCAGACGACGACGACGACGCCAACGTCATACCAATATACGACCACAAAAATTTTTTTGCGGTCGTATAAAAAAGGGGAAAAAAATCCCCCCTCAAATTTTTTGAACCCCCTTATGATTCATCACCCCAAACTCAATCCAAGCCTTCCCTTTGTGTTACAATGTATGGTGCCTTGCAGTACAATTTCAGAGAGATCCGTACACTTGAACACAAGTTATTGTCTGGAAACTAGAAAAATGCTTGGTTTTTTGCCCCTTTTTGGCCCCAAATTCCTAAAAGTTTAGGGCAATTACCCCCAAACTCAAACCAAGCTTTCCCTTTGTGATATGGAACCTTGTTGTACAATTTCATAAAGATCCATACACTTACACACAAGTTATTGTCCTGAAACTAGAAAAATGCTTGTTTTTTTCCCCCTTTTGGCCCCTTTATTCCTAAAATTTTGGGGCAATTACCCCCAAAATCAATCCAAGCCTTCCCTTTGTGGTATGGTACCTTGCAGTACAATTTCAGAGAGATCCATACACTTGAACACAAGTTATTGTCTGGAAACTAGAAAAATGCTTATTTTTGGCCCCCTTTTGGCCCCTTATTCCTAAACGTTTTGGGCAATTACCCCCAAACTCAATTCCAGCTTTCCCTTTGTGATATGGAACCTTGAAGTACAATTTCAGAAAGATCCATACACTAACACACAAGTTATTGTCATGAAACTAGAAAAATACTTGTTTTTTGCCCTTAATTCCTAAAATTTTGAGGCAATTACCCCCAACATCAATCCCAGCACTCCCTTTGTTATATGGAACCTTGTGGTACAATGTCAGAGAGATCCATACACTAACACACAAGTTTTGTCTGGAAGTTACAAAAATGCTTATTTTTGGCCCATTTTTGGCCCCTAATTCCTTAACTGTTGGTACCATAACCACCAAAATCAATCCCAACCTTCCTTTTGTGGTATTGAACCTTGAGGTAAAATTTCAAAGAGATCCATTCACTTAAACTAAAGTTAGAGTGCCAAAACCAATGTGTCTTCAGACGACGACGACGACGCCAACGTCATACCAATATACGACCACAAAAATTTGTTTGCGGTCGTATAAAAACAATTGCTAGATGATATATATATATAGTAAATTGTTAAATGAATAAGTCTCATTGATATATACTTATTTATTTCATTGCTGATAATGTTATAATTTAGCTGTAATTAAAACTAATGTTAATTAGGTCTTTCCACTTTTCCGAAAGACCTAAGGGGCCTATTGATTTTGTTCTGATTATTATATTTTTTTTTTTTTTTCTTGGTCCCAAAAAAAGAAAATTTGGTCAAGGTCAAAGGTCAAGGTCATATTCTAAATTTTGATTTTGGCTTATTTTCACTTCTTTTCAAAAACCGTATAAGATATCGACAACATATTTTTACTAAATTGTTAGTTGCGACATGTCGTAACAAATACATTTTGGTTTAAAGGGTGCGCTAACATTAAATCAGAGTTTTCTCCCCTCTTGTATTTAAAAATACGCGTATGGAGATGTAACTCATTAACCATATATAACTAAGACCTAGGGTCTTTTGATTTGAGGTCCTTGGTTTATGACCTTGAAATTGAGCTCAAGGTCATAGGTAAATTTGACGTTCTAGATTTTGACCTTTGCTTTTACCTCATATGTATACATGATAAAGCCATGGGACTTTTTGCATTAGGTTGCAAGCCATTTGACCTAGAAAATTACAACCGGAAGTGACCTTGTGTAAACCGGAAGTAGCTATTTTTTGTACTTATTTAATATAAAAGTATATAGAACCATATATTTTTGGAATCAGTGTCAAGTAAACATTCAAATTATACCGGAAGTAACATTTTTTAAATCGGAAGTAACAAATTATCTCCCTTATTTAAAAAAAATGTATAGAAACCATATATTTTTGGAATCAGCGTCCAATAAGCTATCATTTGACGCTGGAAACGACATTTTAAACCGAATTTTATATCAAAATAGATCTTTATGGGTGGAAAGACCTTCTATTGGTTTTTAATTCAATATAATGATGCTTACCAGAAAACAACCCTGGATTTCTGGTATTAACAAACAGGGACTCTTCACTGGAATGCTGGGCTGTGAAGAACATTGTTAACAGCAGAAAGTGCAATTTGTTGTTGAATAAAAAAATAAATGTGGATAGTGTCCACATGTGGACACAGATGATGCCCCCACTTGCATATCATATAGTTATAAAGGGACATAACTGAAGAACAGTAAAAGTGAGGCTACCCAAATTTGAACTTGATCTGAGTTTTGTGGTAATAAGCATTGTGTGTAAGTCTCATAACATTTGGTTGAGGCTAACTTAAGTAGAGAACAGAAACTTAAAATTCAGCAATTTTTCTATTTGTAAACATGCATAACTCTAGAACAGTTGTGTATAAGTTTTATAACATTTGGTTGAGACAAACTTAAGTTAGAGAACAGAAATGAAAAATTCAACAATTTTTATGTTTATAAAGGGACACAACTCAAGAATGGTAAAAGTGTCGCCACCAAATTTCGTACTTAATCTGTATTATGTAGTAATAAGCATTGTGTATAAGTTTCATATCATTTGGTTGAGGCACTTAAGTTAGAAAACAAAAAATTTGTAATTGATCTTTGTTTTGTGGTAATGAATATTGTGTATAGGTTTCATAATGTTTGGTTGGGGCAAACTTAAGTTACAGAATGGAAACTAAAAATTTTGCAATCTTTCGAGTTATAAAGGGGCATAACTCAATAATGGTTAAAGTGACACTACCCAAATTCAACTTGATCTGTGTTTTATCAGTGGAAGTCAAAATTAAACATTGCATTGTATAAAGCATTGAATGTAGTTGATTCAATTATAATCATGGACAAAGGAAGATAACTCCAATTTTAATAAAAATTACTTGATATTTAGAAGAAAATAAAAATTTTGTAATTTTTCCATTTATAAAGAGGCATAACTCTGGAATGGTTAAAGTGACGCCACCAAAATTCTAACTTGATCTGTGTTTTGTGGTAATAAGCATTGTGTATAAGTTTCATAACATTTGGTTGAGGCAAACTAAAGTAAGAGAATGGAAATGATAAATTCAGCAATTTTCCATTTGTAAAGGGGCATAACTCTAGAACAGTAAAAGTGACGCCACCAAAATTCAAACTTGATCTGTGTTTTGTGGTAATAAGCATTGTGTATAAGTTTCATAACATTTGGTTGAGGGAAACTAAAGTTAGAGAATGGAAACGATAAATTCAGCAATTTTCCATTTGTAAAGGGGCATAACTCTAGAACGGTAAAAGTGACGCCACCCAAATTCAAACTTGATCTGTGTTTTGTGGTAATAAGCATTGTGTGTAAGTTTCATAACATTTGGTTGAGGCAAACTAAAGTTAGAGAACGGAAACCAATTTTGGGACGTACGTACGTACGTATGTACATTCGTTTGTTCGTACGTACAGACGGACAAGGGTAAAACTTAATACCCCCTCCGCTACGGCAGTGGCATAAAAAAAGTTTCATTGCATTCCAATATCAACTATGTAGACATTACATTCATAATATGTTTTATGACATTGTAGACAGAGGACCTGGACATAATCAATACAATGTGAACAACATAATTAGTATCATGTATGAAAGTGTATACAATTTGTTCCTCTTGTTTCTCAATCTTTTAGCCCTCTATATTAACATTGCACATGGACATAATATTTACTGTATACTAATTATTGGAGGATTACCGTGATGTCTAACATGGTCTCTGAGTAATCTTTCTGATGAGAATCTTTTATTACAATGGGAACACTGGTAACACTGGGCTGAAAATATAATGTCACATGATTTTAATTAAGTACATTATCAGAGTAATTTGGAATATGGAAACACTGGTAACACTACGCTGAACATATAATGTCACATGATTAAGTACATATCATATTACAATGGGAACACTAGTAACACTGGGCTGAACATATAATGTCACATGATTAAGTACATTATTATATCATTATCATGATTATGGGAACACCAGTAACACTGGGCTGAAAATATTTTCACATGATTAAGTAGATATATTACATTTGGAACACTAGTTACACTGGGCTGAATATATAATGTCACATGATTAAGTACATCATATTACATAGGGAACACTGGTAACACTTTCTGTACATAACTCCTTCCAAGTTTGGTTTATAAATATTTATCATAATATTGACTGTTGTGTAATAATGATAATCACAATTAACACCTTTAATATCGCAATGTTAATGACCTCAAATGATTTCTTTTTATTTCAATCAATTAACACTTCATTTCTGTCATATAAAATGAGTTAAAAGATGATCTGCAAAGGTCTCTAACCTATGAATCATACCAATTTTGGTTTTCTCTATTGTTTTTTTTCCATAAATCAGGCTGTTAGTTTTCTCTTTGAATTGTTTTACATTTGTCATTTCAGATCCTTCTACAGCTTGCTATGCGTTATGGGTTTTACTCATCGTTAAAGGCTGTATAGTGAAATATAGTTGCTAACTTCTTAGTCATTTGGACTCTGGTGCACAAAGTTGTCTCATTGGCTATCATACCACATTTTCTTTTTTTAATAACAAAAATTTCAGAAAGAAACCATTGATCCCATTACCTGTGAAAGGCCCAGATCCCCAAATCCAAAACTGAACAATTTGATAGTCAAATGAATCAAAGCTGAATGTACCACTGATCAACCCTTGCAGAAATTTCGGTAGTACGCATGCACCAACAAAACTTTACTTGAAAACAGCAAATGATTTCCACCCAATAATATATACCGTATATAAATTCTATGCTTTATTTTCTTTCATTGATGTGAACATTGTATGATTATATATTTTGTGTTCATAGTTTGAACAAGTGAGTTCTTAAATTAGAGAGTAATTCTAGAAAATATAAAATCTTTGTCTCTTTGTACACATTTCTATCTTTATTGGTAAGCCTTTAATGGTTTGTTTCAATGAGGAATATACCAACCTTCCTTTTAACATACTTATACTAGCATGACTAGTATACAATGAATGAGAAACATACAGGGAACTTCCATATATATAAATATTCTCACATGTCATACTGACCTGTATTTGTTTATACGCCCTTTGTGTAAGAGTTCAATGATATAATACAGTTACCAAGAAAATATAAATATTCATCTTGATAATTTGAAATACTCAATTTGGCAAATGAAAAAGTATATCTTTTTTAATTTTTATTTTCAAAAAATTCAAGAATATAAATTTAGCTTAATTTTCAAAAGGAGGATTAGAATCTTACTCCAGCAAGTCTACTAATAGATAAATTTTGCACCTGTAAGCCTGATTTACAAACTATTTTTTTCTAAACTGTTTCCCTTTGGGCCTAATAAGTTTAAAAATCTTTATTTCAGAAAAAAGTATGCCACTAGACCAACAAGCACCCGAGGACTGGTCTCTATTTCATGTATTTGTTGACAAACGTGTCTTCCACTGATGTAAAACATTACATTGTAGATATCAATACATTATGTTTACAAAGAGATTATAATAAATACTCCAAGAACAATCAGAAACAACGTCAATGTACCAAAATCTTTATATTTACACAAACCCTAAGTACCAATAATGCCTTAGATGTAGGACACATCAATACAAAGTAAGATGACAAGAAGTATTATACCCGCAACATCCTGTCAACTGAAATGTTTAAATTAGAAAATAAACAACAAATTGTGTACTCCCACCGTTTTACAGGAAGTCGATCCAGATGGTACCTCTTCATGTGAAATACTATACTGACGTAAACGGTATATAGTTGTATTTAGAAGTCAAGTCAAAATGACAGTATTGTTTGATTCTGATAATTCTATCAAATATGGTAAGTTACAGATTATTTTCTATATTTTCTTTACATATATATATATTACACTTTATTTAATTTAACTGCGACCCTTCTATTCATGAGAGCGCCACAGATGTTTCAGTTCAAATAATGACCCCCATACTTAATTTCATGTGCTTGCTCACTGAAATTTTTCTTAGAATTCCCCATCCCCCCCCCCCCCCCCCCCCCCCCCTTCTCTCTAATATAAAATTCAAAAAAAAAGTCCAACAAAAAAATAACAGAATCTTAAAAACATGACTTATTCTTTTTATCAGGCATGTAATGAAGACTTTTTTATATTTCTAAAAATTTGATTGTTAAATAGTTCCAATGCAACTTTTTTTTTTAAATAATTGCAATAAAACTTTTTGAACTATATAAATAAAGTATGACCATACATCAGTTACCTAATGTTCAGTTATAAGGGTCATCTATCCAACAAATAAATATCTTTTGCTGCTATAAGAAAATTAGATGTCATATGTACATTTAACACGTTTATGTATTAAAAAATAAACATTATAGGTGGGTGGTAAATGGAAATTTATAAATTTTATTTTGCCACAAAACTGGTGTGGTTTCATTTTTTGGCTTGATTTCCTATGTTTTTTACGTTTTATTTCCTTTCTACAATTAAAATGTAAATATTTTGATCAATAAATTTAATAAATAAGTAATAAGAAAGCTGTTTTTTTTAGAGTTTTAATTTCATATGTAATATTCTTGATTTAACGATTGCCAATATCCTGAAATAGGATTATCATTTTGTGAAGTACAGTAAAAACTTTTGTTTCATTGAAAAATTCACAAGAATCGGTATGGATGATTTAGTAGAAAGAGGCAAGTGACATTTATACTTAATAACATAAACATTGATACAGAAAAAAAATCTTCTGCAGCCTGTTGTACGAACGTGGCATTAGCCTAATGGGTCATTAAGTCTTCATTAAGCCTTTATGATGCATTAGGCTAATGAAGACTTAATGACTCATTAGACTAATGACACATTCGTACAACCGGCTGCTGTTAATTAGCTTTATTAAAGTAGGCAGGCCAAATAATATCCATTGGTATGAGATACCCCAATACTAATAAAGTAGGCAGGCCAAATAATATCCATTGGTATGAGATACCCCAATACTAATAAAGTAGGCAGGCCAAATAATATCCATTGGTATGAGATACCCCAATACTAATAAAGTAGGCAGGCCAAATAATATCCATTGGTATGAGATACCCCAATACTAATAAAGTAGGCAGGCCAAATAATATCCATTGGTATGAGATACCCCAATACTAATAAAGTAGGCAGGCCAAATAATATCCATTGGTATGAGATACCCCAATACTAATAAAGTAGGCAGGCCAAATAATATCCATTGGTATGAGATACCCCAATACTAATAAAGTAGGCAGGCCAAATAATATCCATTGGTATGAGATACCCCAATACTAATAAACTGAATACCAAATATTATTTACTTATTTAAAAGTGGTTTTCCTCGACCTGACCTTAACAAAACTTTATAAGCTTGTAAACTACACAAAAACGTTTAAGTATCAGTTTACCATGAAGTGGTTTTCCTTAAACTGACCTAATCACAAACTTTTAACAAATTGTTGATAATGCCAACACTGCCATACAAGAAAAAGCATGCCTAAGGCTAGGTCTCAAATCGTTGAAAAAGAATTAAACTTTACCGAGTCGTCCTGAATATGCATAAAATAATTGGCACTAGATGTAAGCATGCAACAATCAATCAATCATTTCACCCAGAAATTTATAGCAGTTATAATTCTTATAAATTGAATGAAATTTTAAATCTCTTTGTACTGTAGTGATAGCTAGTATAGCACTTTTTTACTTTTGTTTTCTATGAATATACTACCTATAAAAATAAGATGTGGTATGATTGCCAATGAGACAACTCTCCAAAAGAGACCAAATGACATAGAAATTAACAACTATAGACTTTGTTATATTGTATACTAGTGTTTGATCAAATTTTTAATGCAATCAGATTTCAACGCGTATTTTTTCTTTTTTTATAACATACAGTTACAAAATCTGAGATTTTATTCGTACGCATACATGTTATAAATTCTTATTTTCACTATTCATTATATGTATAGTTCCTTCAACAATGAACAAAAACCCATACCGCATAGTCAGCTATAAAAAGCCCCAAAAAGACAAATGAAAAACAATTCAAACGAGAAAACTAATGGCCTGATTTATGTACAATTTATTTCCAAGGGGCACAAGTATTTTAAAAATAATTGATAAGCACTAATTTTCAAATTGTCCGAGACATAGACAATATAAACCTATAATATAAATTTCATAAAAATTTGGCAAGATTTGTACACATGAGAGCGCTAACAATACAATTTTCCATATAATCAATATTTCCAAAGGACATAACTCTTTTAGAAAAAAATTGATCGGCACTTATTTTCAAACTCGTCAAAGACAATGATGATATAAACCTATAATATAAATTTCATAAAAATTTGGCAAGAATTGTACACATTAGAGCAATCACAAGGCAATTTTCCATATAATCAACATTTCCAAGGAGCATAACTCTTCTAAAAATAATGTATCAGCACTGATTTTCGAACTCGTCCAAGACATTGCTAATATAAACCTATGATATAAGTTTCATAAAAATCTGGCAAGAATTGTACAAATGAGAGCGCTAACGATACAATTTTCCATATAAGTAATGTTTCATAGGGGCATAACTCTTTTAAAATTAATTGATCGGCACTGATTTTCGAACTCATTCACGACATTGCTGATATTAACCTATGATATAAGTTTCATAAAAATCTGAAAAGAAATCTGAAAAGAATTGTACAAGTGAACGCTGGACTTGCATTGCACGCGGAAAAAAATGGGAACATCCTGAATTAAGGACATCCTTAACAAAAACTTGTCCAAGTACTGAGTTAGCACAAGTAGACTTTTCTTAAATTCTGATAATTTTTTTTTAACCCAAAACAGTACAACCCTATAATTTCTGGCATTTCTTCATGTGTTGCTGACCAAAATTTGACAACTTAGACCACATACAAAATACTCAGTTTATATAATTTAAAAAACCCCTTTGGTAAAAAATCATTCTCATGCCACATACTTCTCTAGGTAAACATGTGACAACAAATCAAGTTTTGTTGACTTGTCATACTTAGGAACTCAAAGAAGTACACACCAAACCAGAAAACTCAACCTTACTACCAAAAGTGTGAAATGAGGTCAATGCTATATTATGTCAAATAAATAGGTTATTAGATTGTCTGTTGAATTGTTTCACACATTTCTTACTGTAAGGGACATACTAGGTATATTAGAATTAATAGATTTTTCTTCAGCTTTGTGTAATAATCAGAATATAAATTCAAATTCAATATATTTCATATGACCTTATTTGGTTTTACCTAAAATGGACTTTTTCCAAATTATAAATGTAATTGAATGACATAAATACAGTTCCTTCAAGGATACATTAGCTCTATAATTGATATGATGTTAATCAGATTAACTGACCAGTTTATCCATACAGCTATATATATCAGGTGTTGACAGATAGATAACCAATGTCAGTCACCTTAATGTCAAAGATAGTACAGTGCACTCAAAAAACTCTTTTCTCTTTGGTATATATACCAACTTCTAAGGCTGGAATAGTGTTCAATTCTTTACTGAAAGACTGTTTGATGACTTGAACTTTTCTAGATAGCGAAATAAATAATTGTGCAACGTAAAACCTCTTTACTGAAATACATTTTGATGACTTTGGACTAGTCTATAGTAAAATATATAAAGGATTATACTAAGCTGTTGGCATAATAGATGCAAATGGAACTGGACATCTTGACCGTACAATGAAATAAATTATCAAAATACAGGTACTGTTTTTATAATGACTTGTTAAACAAATCAAAGTACATGTATTTATTGATAAACTGGTTATAGGATCATTTATCATACGTTCTTAATCAACTAAAACCTATTGAGGAATGTCAGATTGCATATAAAAGGAAAATGACTCTCAGATAGGAGATTTGTTTTAAAAGATTGCATCAAAAATACATAGCTTATAAGTTAATTCTTGAAATAAGTTTAAAAAAGACCTTTAGATATTATAGATTTTAGAATTTGATGTACTTATTAAATATTTCCAGTTATTTGGCTTTTAATAATCAGAAAAAAGAAATAAAACAAATTATGATTTTCTTTTTTTTTTTTGTATTTTGTTATCTAAATTCTTAATACTCGATTATGAGAATAGCATGAACAGCTGCTAATCAAGTTTTAAGTTGATCATTCAAAATATGTTATCCAATCTAATAGAATGTCTTGAACCAAAAGATCATTTTGAAGCTATTAAAATGGAACCCAAATCCTGTCAATCAGGAATTGTATGTCGAAAACAAAACTATTTTAGCAAAACTGTATAACAATTTGAATAAAATATGTGGAGTAGATGAAAATAAAACTTTATAAATATCCTGTGTTTGAAGAGATTTTCACAAAATTGAGTAAACCTGAATGAGACAGTAATATAAAATGCTGCAGATCTCAATTATTACTTGGAACAGATAGCTCATTGCACAAATAAACGAACATTTTTTGTAGAATTATCATTACAACCTGAAATTCTGTAGATTTGCTCTGAGCATTGTGTTTTCCTGTACTTTTTATAAGGTTGCTCTATAAAATCTACTCTCAAGTACAGCTACCAATATTCAAATATTACCTAACTGTAGTTTTTCAGTGAAGCACATAAAAAACAAATCCAAGAGAAAAGGAGCTAATTTTCAGCTTTTTAAATTCTTTATTTTTATTGTGACTAATAAATTAACTTGAAACAGCCTTAAAGTTGGATAATGGAAGAAATTACGAATTATACATATTGTTCATTTGTCATTTTTTGAGATTTTTTTACACAAAATAATTGGGATGCAAAGAAAAGAATGAGATTTTGAAATACTGAAGATGCATCAATTATAGTTTAAAAATAACCCAAAGCGTTAAATAGAACTTATCATGACAACACATTTTCTGAGTTTATAGTTTAAAATTAACCCAAAGCATCAAATATAACTTGTTATGACAACACAATTTCTGAGTAATCTCCTAATTTGGAGAGTAAAAACATGTCTTATACTTAAGTCTTTAGGCAAGTTTAATTTAAAGTGAAACTGATAAATAATTAACAATGTGGGTCAGAAAATAGATGTTAAAATCCAGCTGTGACATTACAATGTGTTAGATGACATTCTCTGTTCAGAATCATAACCTTTAGTCAGATGATCAACTGACGATATGATGTCAGAACTTTGGATTTTAACACTCAAATATTAAAATAAACGGTAATATAAATATAAGAATTATGCTCAAATATGGCATGATTCAATGTTGTTTTTCCCCCATTATAATGATTATTGTGGATATTTCAATAGGAATGGTCAGGGAAATTCAGCAAAGAGTTGAGTTAAAACCAATCAGCATGGACATGATGATAAATCTGTCCTGGGCTACCACTTCTATTTCTATCTACATCCTGTATGCAACTGTACTTTTACATTGGTACAAATCTCACATGATACAACTGAGGTTAAAGGACATTAATGGACTATTGGTGTTAGCAGGCCTGACTTTATGTCTGGTGAAATATGGACTGGAACTTCAAGGAAGCTTGGTACTTTTACTTGGGATTGTGGTGTCCTATTTTCAGCTGTCACCAGTTATCCTCCCAATCAACAATAAAGCTATACTTATAACAGGTAAACTAATATATACAAAACACAAATAATAAACATATTACCAGAATGGCCTTCAAAGTTATAGTAAAAGTTAGAAAAGTATTTGCTTAAATATGTATTAATTTATATATGGAAATAATATTACAAAACAAAGACCAATGGAGAAGTGGTATGCATTCTCTATATAAGTTTGGCTACAGAAAATCGTATTTTATTTTTGCAGTTTTTGTATTGAAAAAGAAGTTTATGTGTTTACCATCTATAGAAAAAAATAATCACAAAGTTGTTCAAAATTTGTACAAGTGTTAATGTGATATGTGATCTACAATACAATGTATCATTATATAATAATCTCTGATATTGTCTATTTGTTCTTTAAAGGATGTTTATTTAACATTGTTTAATGTAAGGCACACTTCTCTTCTCTTCTAGACTAAGAGATTTTAGAGCTTGGTATATTGTATAGACACAGGAGTCAAGTTGACCTCTATGTTTTATGTGCTGTGTTTTAAGTGTGTCATTGGGTTTTTGTCCAATTAACCTGCGCTTCATTGATTTAGCTTTTTTCAAAGAAATCCTCACATAAACATGATAAACTAGTCAATAACTGAATCAATGAATTCTAAGATTTTTTTTCAGTTTTTGACTAGCTAAAGGAAACAGGATAGACATGGACAGTTATAATCAATTTCAAAGTTTTATCTACACTCTCGAGGGTGTACGAGCCAAGTCAAGAAATAGCTCTGTCCCCCCCACCCCCTTTTGCAAAAATATTATTATTGAAAAAAAATAATGAAATGAAAGGGAAAACTGACTTTCCTCTAGTCTAATAAGACACAGGCACTTGTCTCTGAAAATAATTTAACATATATATAACACTCTATTAAGGTATATAGGTAACTTTCTTTCAGAGATAAGTGCCTGTGTATTAAGACTAAAGATGTCATGTTTTTTTTCTTTTTTTTTGCTTGTCATTTTCAGAAGTGTCCACCTCCCCACTCACCCTCTTCAGTCAATTCCAACACCACTGATAAAATATCAACAAACAAAAATCCTTAAATTTGTAATAAAAGTTAAGTCTTGGTTAAAAAAATCTCATTGAAAAAGTATTCATTATATCAAGTAACTGAAAGATGCCAAACAGACAAAATAAATATATCAACATTGTTGATAGCCAATCTTAAAGAAACAAATTTATCAATGGTATGTAGACTTAAGAGGACATTTGTAAATAAGATTAATTAAAAAACTAAAACCACAGAATTAAAAGGATTTACTTTCAACTATATGTGGATAAATGATAAGAAATCTCTGCCACAATTGTACAACTGCTTTTACAAGTAAATAAGGAAGTTTCTAACAAGGTTCAAAATCATCATTTTATACTTGACTATAAGTCTAATCATTGATAAACAATGTAACAGATGACGTAGATCATCAATTGACGTACATCACCTGTTTCCTTGTATTAGCCAAATAACTGACATTTTATGAATTAAACTAAGACATCTCATTGCAGTAACCCAGTTGTGAATTAATATCTTTTACCTTCAATCTTTGACTCAAATTATGACATATGCTTCAATGTTTGCCATTATTATTATTATTATCAATTTATCTGTTTATTTTTTGAAAAGTTTCAGACATACTCCTCATTTCAGAATAACGATTGACACCCAGCCAATAGAGTTCATCCTCTCTATAAGATCATAATGCATACAATTAAAATTTAGAAAATGATTGATAGCACAGTTTAGTCTAGATGATCAGTCTGCAGATTTATATATATATATAAAATGCTTCGCTGGGGCGCAGCTTGATACGACCGCAGAGGTCGAACCCTGAACAGTTGGGGCAAGTATGGACACAACATTCAAGCTTGATACAGCTCTGAATTTGGATTGTTATTAAATATTTGACACAGCATAGGTTTCTGACACAGAAAGAATGTGGTCTAAGAACTTGAATTTTTTTAATTTACCTATTATGGTCCAATGTCCAAAATCAAAATACATGGTTAGATTCAGCATATCAAAGAACCCCATATATTCAATTTTTGTTAAAATCAAACAAAGTTTAATTTTGGACCCCAACTTGGACAAACTTGAAAACTGGGCCCATAATCAAAAATCTAAACACATGTTTAGATTCAGCATATCAAAGAACCCCAAGAATTCATTTTTTGCTAAAATCAAACTAAGTTTAATTTTGGACCCTTTGGACCTTAATGTAGACCAATTTAAAAAACGGGACTTAAAATTAAAAATCTAAATACACGGTTAGATTTGGAATATCAAAGAACCCCAATAATTCAATTTTTGATGAAATCAAACAAAGTTTAATTTTGGACCCTTTTGACCTCAATATAAACCAATTTGATAGCGGGGCCCACAAATAAAAATTCTAAATTCATGGTTAGATTCAGCATATCAAAGAACCCCATATATTCAATTTTTGTTGAAATCAAAAAAAGTTTAATTTTGGACCCCAACTTGGACCAACTTGAAAACTGGGCCCATAATCAAAAATCTAAACACATGTTTAGATTCAGCAGATCAAAGAACCCCAAGAATTCAATTTTTGTTAAAATCAAACTAAGTTTAATTTTGGACCCTTTGGACCTTAATGAAGACCAATTTAAAAAACGGGACCCAAATTAAAAATCTAAAAACACGTACGGTTAGATTTGGCATATCAAAGAACCCCAATAATTCAATTTTCGATGAAATCAAACAAAGTTTAATTTTGGACCCTTTTGACCTCAATATGAACCAATTTGATAGCGGGGCCTACAAATAAAAAATCTAAATACATGGTTAGATTCAGCATATCAAAGAACCTCATATATTCAATTTTTGTTGAAATCAAACAAAGTTTAATTTTGGACCCCAATTTGGACCAACTTGAAAACTGGGCCCATAATCAAAAATCTAAATACATGTTTAGATTCAGCATATCAAAGAACCCCATATATTCAATTTTTGTTGAAATCAAACAAAGTTTAAATACTGGACCCTATCTTGGACCAACTTGAAAACTGGGCCCATAATCAAAAATCTAAACACATGTTTAGATTCAGCAAATCAAAGAACCCCAAGAATTCAATTTTTGTTAAAATCAAACTAAGTTTAATTTTGGACCCTTTGGACCTCAATGTAGACCAATTTAAAAAACAGGACCCAAAATTAAAAACCTAAATACACGGTTAGATTTGGAATATCAAAGAACCCCAATAATTCAATTTTAGATGAAATCAAACAAAGTTTAATTTTGGACCCTTTTGACCTCAATATGAACCAATTAGATAACGGGGTCCACAAATAAAAAATCTAAATACATGGTTAGATTCAGCATATCAAAGAACCCCATATATTCAATTTTTGTTGAAATCAAACAAAGTTTAATTTTGGACCCCAATTTGGACCAACTTGAAAACTGGGCCAAAAATCAAAAATCTAAATACATGTTTAGATTCAGCATATCAAAGAACCTCATATATTCAATTTTTGCTAAAATCAAACAAAGTTTAATTTTGGACCCTTTGGACATTAATGTAGACCAATTTGAAAACTGGACCCAAAATTAAAAATCTAAATACACTGTTAGATTCGGCATAACAAATAAATAAATGTGATCAAAGATTTTACAAATCTAATGCGCCATACTGTGCAATTAAAGATTACTTATTGAAATTTTTCAATATTTGAAATTTGAAAAAAAAATAATATTTGAAGAATAATTCTTTTTAATTTCTGAAATCTGAAATGAGAAAAATTGGCCCCCCACAATTTCTTTTTATCCCCCCCCCCCATTTTCCCCCAAAAAAATTCTTTCCCTCAAGATATGGTCATAATCTCAATTCAAATTTCCAATGGAGTTGGCAACCATAATTACCCATTTAAATTTACCATAGTGCTAACTTAATCTATTTTATAATAGAATTAATAAAAATATATTTTCAAATCTTTCATATGGATTTTTTTGTAAAAAAAAAAGATGAAAACATTTGCAGATATTTTTACTGGTCTTCCTTTATAAATATGCATTTCTTTAAACATAATTTAAAAGCAGTGTAAGGGAAGTAACCAAAACGTTGTATTTGGATTACCTCCCTTACACTGTTTTAGATTATCTTTATTGTTCATTAACCATTACTTTATACATAATTTAAAAGCAGTGTAAGGGAGATAATTTCAATGATGTATTTGATTTATCTCCCTTACACTGCTTTAAATTATGTTTTGTACTAAAGTATTTGTCCATTAACCAGGACAACCTTGTTTTTCCCCCTTTTTTGCCCCTAATTCCTAAACGGTTTGAGCCATAACCCCCAAAAGCAAATCCTAACCATCCATTTGTGGTATGGAAACTTGTAGTATAATTTCAGAGAGATCCATACACCGTTCCACAGTTATTGTCTGGAAACTAGAAAATGCTCATTTTTGGCCCCTTTTTGGCCCCTAATTCCTTAATTGTTGGTACCATAACCCCCAAAATCAATCCCAACCTTCCTTTTGTGGTATTTAACCTTATGGTCAAATTTCAAAAAGATCCATTCACTTAAACTAAAGTTAGAGTGCGAAAACCAATATGTATTCGGACGACGACGCCGGACGACGACGACGACGACGACGACGACGCCAACGTCATACCAATATACGACCACAAAATTTTTTTGCGGTCGTATAATAATAAAAACTATAACACAATTTTCCACACGTTTCGGCCATTACGGCCTTCTTCATTGGAGTAAATTACAACATTGAAACAACAATTACATCGCTTGGATACATTACGTTACAATTACTACTATGACGTTCATTTGCTGCGGCATAACCCCTTCCCCTACCTCAGACGAAATCTATAGTGTGCTAAAAAGGTCTTGTCATTGCAGTTTTAGATTATATATGGTTTTCAAACTTTTGGGGTGGGGTTCTGAACAGTTTTTGGTTAATCTAACATACAACTCTTCAAGGGACCGGGCACGAACCCCAATATACAAAATCTATGGTGTACTGATGAAAGGTCTTATCAAGGCAATTAAGAACCTATATGGCTTAAAAAGATAAATCAGAACAATATTTCAGATATCTAACAATTTATTATATGAAAGTCCATGGCCAGACCTCCATGGGCAAACTTGCAGTTGCATTGAAAGGTCTTGCCAAGGCTAGCAAGAATATACATGGTTTTTGGGAAGACATATAAAAGAGGCTATCAAGAATATATGTTTTTTGGGAAGACATATAAAAAGGCTAGCAAGAAAAAAATCCACTGTTTGACCTTAGAGGTCATATTCTGTTGTATGCGACACATTGTCTTCAGGTGCTGCGCCCATGTGACAAATGTCAAAAGCCTATGTCAATAGATAAAATTGTTATGTTCTAGACAGGAAAATGTAAAAAAAATCCAATATTTTCTTCTTGAGTTCAAAGGTTATGATGTTATGTGACACATCCTCTTATGGTTATTTACATCTTCATCCCAAATATCATAACTGATATCATCATAGGTTGTAACCTTGGTAGCAAGAACTCCTTAGTAAACAATATTATTGTTATTTGCACAAATCAATTTCTGATTAAAAGAAACTAATTAACGCAAAAGCTGAAACAAAAGGTTGAAATGAAATAACTGTAGTTGGACAGATTCATATATCATGATTTCTGATCCTTCAACTAAAGGATGTTTGCTACTCTGTTTCAAAATAACAAGCTTTTTAAAATACTGTTACAAATTGATAGTATATAAATAAAGGAACTAAAAAAGCAGAAAAAAATGAAGGGTCAGTGTGCTTGTTTTCGAGATATAACCCATTGAAAATTTGGAGGGAAATAATTCTCTCTAGACTTTTCATATATTTAACATTGGCACCCTTTTTCTTTCAAAAAATGTGAAAAAATAACAAGGATTTTATTAGCTTTTTAAACTGTATGTAATGAAATAATGAAAAAAAAGTAGGGGTTAGCGGGGACATTTTTTTAATGGCACTACATGGATAAAACCAGAGGAATCCGAATATCTGGCAAAAATTCATAAACAAGAGGAGCGAACATCCTTAAATAAATTATGATAAAATAACTTAATCGCTTAATACCATTATACAATTTCTGTTTGCGGTATTGTCTTTTTAATTTATCTATCAATTAAAAGAGTCAAAGGATATTTTTGGTCAAGAGTTCATCTAGTACAATATAAGAAAGATCATTTTAATTAGATCTATAAGTAGAAAAGGGTATCAATTTTAGAATAGACCATGCAGCCATCTGATATAGAAATAAAAAGATGTGGTATGATTGCCAACAAGTTTATCAAATACAATATGAGAAAGATCATTTTACTTAGATCTATGGGTAGAAAAGGCATCACCCCCCTTTTCCAAGTACATGCATATATTAAATTTAAGAGCATACATGTTATCCTTATTCCTGTTAGATCTGTATTGAGGTTATGCACTGGAATGACATTTACAATCTCTCAGATAACCGATATAACTTGTCATGATGTGTAAACAACAGAACTTCCACATACAAGTTTCTCTCAGACCAAAAAATATGCTGATAGTCTACTTGTTTTTTTCTTAGCTGTAATCATGTACAGAATATGTAGAATGTACAAATTTGTAAATTCTCGTGAGTCCAATGTCCAAAATAATCATGTAAATAGGCCATTTTAAAAATGTCTTCTGAAATTGGGAAAGAATTGATGGAACAGCCATTAAATGGGCAAAGGTCAATACATTTCCCCATCACTATAGTTTATGTGAAAACAGTTTAATTTTGTGACAATACAAATAGAAAATAAATATCTAAAACACAGAAAAAATTTGCAGGGCTTGTGTTTATGTTTCGTGTTGTAGCAAGTTGGGTCCCTAGATAGAAACCATTGTCTTTTTTCTTGAAAAGTGTAAAGTCATTAAATGGTCTTAAACAATAATTGGTTGAATGAGACCAACCTACACGGTAAGGGATGTTTGACTTCACTAGTATGAACAAACTGTCATATTTTAACGGATCTTTTGGGGAAAATTAAGTGTAAATGGCAGATCTTCAATTGTTTCTGTAAAATTGATTCACAATTTTGATAGACTCAAAACAATTTAGGCTTTGAATTTGAGGACTGTATGTTGCAGATGTCTTTTGGTTATCTTTGCTGATGGGTTGCTGTCTCATTGACCTATACCACATCTCCATAATCTCTTAATTGCTGACTTTGCAGATATTATCCATATATAAATGACAATAATGTTCTCTTTTTGCACCTGCTAATACCATGTAACATCAGTTAGATTTTAATTATCTAGTTGTACTATATATCAATGACCTTCTAATCACCTGACTTTGTAACAAGAGAAGAACCTTGCTTTTATCATTATATACAATTTAGAACAAAAAGAATGTGATATCCAGATATATACCATTACTTGACAGATAATTGATCTCATTGACGTTTTCATGACAACTTTGGAATCAAATGTATTAAAATATCTTAATAACACTGACCTTTGATCATGACTTGTACCTAAAAATACTTCTGAACTATAATTGTTTATAATTATTAAGTCTGTTTGACAGATCAAAGGTAGACTTAAAAGTAACAGGTATTGGGGAAAATACTTGAAAGTGTAAGGGAGCAAAACAAATTATTAAAAATATACTTTACAGATCAATGGTAAAAGAATGAGTTTTTCATTATTATTTAAACTTATTTGTTGCAGGTTGTGACCGTGGTATTGGCAAAGCTTTAGCCAAATATTTAGACAAGGCAGGATTCAAAGTTTATGCTGGTTGTTTGGAAAATGAAGGGCATGGAAAACAAGATCTGACGAATTCCTGTTCATCAAGACTTCAAACAATCCAACTTGACGTGAGCAATGAAATTCAGATAAAAACAGCTGCTGCTATAGTACAGAAAGACCTTGAAATTTCAGGTAAATACATGTCCTTAGGTTTGAACAGAACGACCTTGAAATGTCAGGTAAATACATGTCCTTAGGTTTGTACAGAATGACCTTGCAATGTCAGGTAAATACATGTCATTAGGTTTGTACAGAATGACCTTGAAATGTCAGGTAAATACATGTCCATTGGTTTGTACAGAATGACCTTGAAATGTCAGGTAAATACATGTCCGTTGGTTTGTACAGAATGACCTTGAAATGTCAGGTAAATACATGTTGTTAGGTTTGTACAGAATGGACTTGAAATGTACGGTAAACATATGTCCTTAGGTTTGTTCAGAAAAACTTTGAAATGTCAGGTAAATACATGGTGTTAGGTTTGTACAGAAAGATCTTGAAATGTCAGGTAAGTACATGTCCTTCGGTTTGTACAGAATGACCTTGAAATGTCAGGTAAATACAATCAAATTCAATCAAATGAATTTTTGTAAAATAAAAAAAATCATTCTTGTTTCATTAAAATGATATACTCTTGCAGTTAAAAAGTAAAATAAACTAGTGTATATTTCAATTATCAGTAAAAACGTACATCATTTGAAATTGAAAGATGATTTTGATAACAAGCCTGCTTGGACAAGTAGATACAATGATGAATAAAATTCTGGTCTTTTTTTTCAATACAACAATTACCCATTCATTTTTTAACACAGTGTAAAAACAAAGCAGTAACTTGCTTTTGATATTGAATTGATAATATCAAGAAAGAAATTCAAATATATATCTTAATTTTTTTTAGTGAGGGTCATATTAATCAATCTTTATATTTTTGTGCTATGCTTTATTGACTTGTTTTTTCATTTATTTCTTTTGCTTTATCAACTTTTGACTTTTTATTGTCCCAATGCTTTTTTAATCAAGAATCAAAAGTAATTATTAAATTGATGTGTTTATGAATTACTGACTTGTATTATGTGTAAGCATACATGTAGTCCAGTTTTTTGAGGTTAAAAAGTGATTAATATCTTATTTCATATTTAAGAAAGCCATATAAAAAGAATTTCCTGTTATATATTTATCATAACACTTATATTATATCAAATTTTACATAAAAATCACTTTCAGGTGATTTTTAATATATATATATATCAATACAAGGTTTTCCTGTCAAATCTAAATCTAGGTTAAATTGTTGTCATGAGTTTACTCGTTTATCTACCAAATAAATGTAAATATTTATATCCTTTTACTTCTGTTCAACATTAAAAACAAACTTAATCTTGAACTTGTGATAAATTTAAATAACATTGAAAGTTACAAAGTCAAAGAATTTATACTATTATCAAGTTGTAAACTGCATAAAGGTTTCTAAATTATTTTATCTAACAAGACTTTGAGGTCACAAAACACATGTACTGTTTAAAGTATGTTAATTCCTGATTTGAAAATGTCTATAATATTTTGGTTTAGGAAGTCCTGACAAAAACTTATATATTGTAAAAGGTATACAAGGAGAATGATTCAATGAATATTGAACAATCTCATGAAATGATTCATTAACGAGTGTTTTTATTGCTGTTCTTCATGCTAATGTTTGCTAGAGGTATTCACTGATGAGCTAAATGGCTCATAATGTACAACAAAGTCAAGACAGCTACCAGTATCAACATATAGATTATCTGATATGGTTAAGTTCTAATAAATGTTCTTCATTAGATACAGTGTTATGCAATACAGTTTTTATTCTAATTATTCTAACAGGTATAAAGTTGTAATAGGGTGTAAATAACAATCTAGGTATGAAGTTATGTGGTGCTATTAACAATGCTGGTATATCTGTTTTATTATTTTGACAGGTATGAAATTATGGGGTGTAATCATGGTAATTAACAATGCTGGTATGTGTTTATTTTGATAGGTATGAAATTATGGGGAGTAATTAACAATGCTGGTATTTGTTTATTTTGATAGGTATGAAATTATGGGGAGTAATTAACAATGCTGGTATTTGTTTATTTTGATAGGTATGAAATTATGGGGAGTAATAAACAATGCTGGTATTTGTTTCATTGGTAATGTTGAGATGATGGTAACAGAAGACATTCATAAAATACTAGCCGTGAATTACCTGGGACCAGTTACTGTGTGTAAACACTTCCTACCACTTCTGAGAGAAAGTCAAGGCAGAATTGTCAATGTTGCAAGCAACTGTGGTAAGCACTGATTGTTGGAGAAACATTTTTGTTGGGAGTAAAAAAAAAAAAAAAATTTATTGAGAGTTTTGGCTATTTTCTATTATTTTGCCAATAGTTTTAAAAAAATTATGACAATAAATAAAAATAAAACTTGCCCGTCAGCCCAAATTAAAAAAAATAATGCATGAGAATCTAGGATTTTTTAATCATGCCCCCCAATAACAGCCTTTACACAAGTTTTTCTCAAATTGTAAAATATATCAAAACTGACTGAAATTTTCCTGTAGCAATTGGATAAAAGTTTAACAATTGGTTGTTTGACTGAATGATACAAACTGCAGTATTGTGAAAATTTTTATCTGATGACAACACTTTCAGTTTAATCTTAGTAATACATGTAATATCACAGCTATTTAATCTTTGATACAAGATAGTGACTTATCTACTTTTGTAACTTTAAGAAATTGTAAAAAAATGCCTTTAGCATTTGTTTTGCATTGCTATCAAATAATTTCATTGCATATTTTTGCCAACAAAGAAAATACTAAACTACCAATGTTTTACTTTTAGGCCTGGCACCTGTACCACTCATGGGACCATACTGTGCTTCTAAGTCAGCACTGGCTACAATGTCAGAAGTATGGAGATATGAATTCAAAATGTGGAAAATAAAAGTCTGTACAATCATCCCTAGTGGATATAAAACAGGTAAATCATATTATTTTTTTATGAAGATCCCTTTGTGATATGGATTTTTGGATAGAAAAAAGTCATGATATGAAAGTTTTTTGGAATTTTAGTTCTTTCCAATCAACAAATGACTCCTTAATTTTTAAATCTCTATTTCATGAATGTTCCTCTGGACTTTATAAAACATCACAAATGGTCAAGTTCAGTCAATTCTTCAAAATAACAACATGCCCAATTTAATGGCATGGAGATTTTTTGTTTACAAATTATAATTGGGTTGAGGTGAATAAGGGATACTGAATTTTGGATGGAAATATGAACAAGGACAGTCATTTATGGTTTTCCAGTCATAATTCAATAAACAACTGACCAATATTAGTGCAATTATATATAAAATTCACTGAATATTGTCAATATTGTACAATTGAAAATAGACAAAAAAATGAAAATTATGTTTCAGCTCAACTAATCTCCTCCTATAGCAAATGTGAGGTGGAATTCTGCAATTTTTCTTCATCAACATTTATAAATAATATTATTTTGAAACTATTAGGTATCATGGCTTATGACAAGGCTGCAGTGGCAGAAAGGTGGTGGAAAGGAGCAAGTAAATCTGTCAAGGAAAATTACGGCAAAGACTGTTTCTACATTAAACATAAGCTTAAAGGTAAATCTAATTACTTTTCCTCCTTTCTCCTCATAAAAAACAAAGAAAAAATACACTTTTATATCTATTTCTATAGTTATAAGAAGATGTGGTATGAGTGCCAATGAGACAACTCTCCATCCAAGACACAATTTGTAAAAGTAAACCATTATAGGTCAAAGTATGGACTTCAACACGGAGCCTTGGCTCACACCGAAAACAAGCTATAAAGGGCCCCAAAAATAACTAGTGTAAAACCATTCAAACAGGAACTGGCCTGTATATGACTGATGACCATTTCTGATGCTTTTTTCTTTGTATTAAAAATAAAATGCTTCGCTGGGGCGCAGCTTGATACGACCGCAGAGGTCGAACCCTGAACAGTTGGGGCAAGTATGGACACAACATTCAAGCTTGATACAGCTCTGAATTTGGATTGTTATTAAATATTTGACACAGCATAGGTTTCTGACACAGAAAGAATGTGGTCTAAGAACTTGAATTTTTTTAATTTACCTATTATGGTCCAATGTCCAAAATCAAAATACATGGTTAGATTCAGCATATCAAAGAACCCCATATATTCAATTTTTGTTAAAATCAAACAAAGTTTAATTTTGGACCCCAACTTGGACAAACTTGAAAACTGGGCCCATAATCAAAAATCTAAACACATGTTTAGATTCAGCATATCAAAGAACCCCAAGAATTCAATTTTTGCTAAAATCAAACTAAGTTTAATTTTGGACCCTTTGGACCTTAATGTAGACCAATTTAAAAAACTGGACTTAAAATTAAAAATCTAAATACACGGTTAGATTTGGAATATCAAAGAACCCCAATAATTCAATTTTTGATGAAATCAAACAAAATTTAATTTTGGACCCTTTTGACCTCAATATGAACAAATTTGATAGGGGGGCCCACAAATAAAAATTCTAAATGCATGGTTAGATTCAGCATATCAAAGAACCCCATATATTCAATTTTTGTTGAAATCAAACTAAGTTTAATTTTGGACCCCAACTTGGACCAACTTGAAAACTGGGCCCACAATCAAAAATCTAAACACATGTTTAGATTCAGCATATCAAAGAACCCCAAGAATTCAATTTTTGTTAAAATCAAACTAAGTTTAATTTTGGACCCTTTGGACCTCAATGAAGACCAATTTAAAAAACGGGACCCAAATTAAAAATCTAAAAACACGGTTAGATTTGGCATATCAAAGAACCCCAATAATTCAATTTTCGATGAAATCAAACAAAGTTTAATTTTGGACCCTTTTGACCTCAATATGAACCAATTTGATAGAGGGGCCTACAAATAAAAAATCTAAATACATGGTTAGATTCAGCATATCAAAGAACCTCATATATTCAATTTTTGTTGAAATCAAACAAAGTTTAATTTTGGACCCCAATTTGGACCAACTTGAAAACTTGGCCAAAAATCAAAAATCTAAATACATGTTTAGATTCAGCATATCAAAGAACCCCATATATTCAATTTTTGTTGAAATCAAACAAAGTTTAAATACTGGACCCTATCTTGGACCAACTTGAAAACTGGGCCCATAATCAAAAATCTAAACACATGTTTAGATTCAGCAAATCAAAGAACCCCAAGAATTCAATTTTTGTTAAAATCAAACTAAGTTTAATTTTGGACCCTTTGGACCTCAATGTAGACCAATTTAAAAAACAGGACCCAAAATTAAAAACCTAAATACACGGTTAGATTTGGAATATCAAAGAACCCCAATAATTCAATTTTCGATGAAATCAAACAAAGTTTAATTTTGGACCCTTTTGACCTCAATATGAACCAATTAGATAACGGGGTCCACAAATAAAAAATCTAAATACATGGTTAGATTCAGCATATCAAAGAACCCCATATATTCAATTTTTGTTGAAATCAAACAAAGTTTAATTTTGGACCCCAATTTGGACCAACTTGAAAACTTGGCCAAAAATCAAAAATCTAAATACATGTTTAGATTCAGCATATCAAAGAACCTCATATATTCAATTTTTGCTAAAATCAAACAAAGTTTAATTTTGGACCCTTTGGACATTAATGTAGACCAATTTGAAAACTGGACCCAAAATTAAAAATCTAAATACACTGTTAGATTCGGCATAACAAATAAATAAATGTGATCAAAGATTTTACAAATCTAATGCGCCATACTGTGCAATTAAAGATTACTTCTTGAAATTTTTCAATATTTGAAATTTGAAAAAAAAATAATATTTGAAGAATAATTCTTTTTAATTTCTGAAATCTGAAATGAGAAAAAATTGGCCCCCCACAATTTCTTTTTATTCCCCCCCCCCCCTTTTTTCCCCAAAAAAATTCTTTCCCTCAAGATATGGTCATAATCTCAATTCAAATTTCCAATGGAGTTGGCAACCATAATTACACATTTAAATTTACCATAGTGCTAACTTAATCTATTTTATAATAGAATTAATAAAAATATAGTGTCAAATCTTTCATATGGATTTTTTTGTAAAAAAAAAAGATGAAAACATTTGCAGATATTTTTACTGGTCTTCCTTTATAAATATGCATTTCTTTAAACATAATTTAAAAGCAGTGTAAGGGAAGTAACCAAAACGTTGTATTTGGATTACCTCCCTTACACTGTTTTAGATTATCTTTATTGTTCATTAACCATTACTTTATACATAATTTAAAAGCAGTGTAAGGGAGATAATTTCAATGATGTATTTGATTTATCTCCCTTACACTGCTTTAAATTATGTTTTGTACTAAAGTATTTGTCCATTAACCAGGACAACCTTGTTTTTCCCCCTTTTTTGCCCCTAATTCCTAAACGGTTTGAGCCATAACCCCCCAAAGCAAATCCTAACCATCCCTTTGTGGTATGGAAACTTGTAGTATAATTTCAGAGAGATCCATACACCGTTCCACAGTTATTGTCTGGAAACTAGAAAATGCTCATTTTTGGCCCCTAATTCCTTAACTGTTGGTACCATAACCCCCAAAATCAATCCCAACCTTCCTTTTGTGGTATTTAACCTTATGGTCAAATTTCAAAAAGATCCATTCACTTAAACTAAAGTTAGAGTGCGAAAACCAATATGTATTTGGACGACGACGCTGGACGACGACGCCGGACGACGACGCCGGACGACGCCGGACGACGACGACGACGACGCCAACGTCATACCAATATACGACCACAAAATATTTTTGTGGTCGTATAAAAACAATAGTTTCTTTTGAAATTTGATGCAGGTACTGTATACTGACCATGAATAGACTTAAAAAAAGTGTTTTTATCATTTTGTCAATTGAGGAGTGATACCACCATTTTTTTTCACCCATTAGTCTTTGTTAAATTGGCATTTTTTTTTTAAATTGTGCAAAATTTATCTATGTTTCAAATTAAGAATACTTGGCATGAGTAAAATTTTATCCTGTCCAGTACTAATCAAAATTTCACATCATAACATTTCATTGCATATAAGATAATAACCATCAATGGAAGTTAACCAATCAAATTTTCACCCCATTTTTCCTGTTTACAAGCTTTAGTAACCATGTTAACTCAAGTTTCCAAAAATACTTTATAGAAAATTATCTGACAATCATGGATCTGACAATTTGTGCTGACATATTCTGAGCAATTCAAAATCTCATTTTCCTATTGTGAACACCTTATCAATATTTGTTGGCTATGTTGACATCTTAGATATTAACAGGAGATTTTTAAGTCAAAGGATAAAATGCTTGCAAGCACAATGTAACGAACTGTTGTATTCCTTCAATTAATCAGTATCACAATATCACTACTGGACATTAATAAAATTTTGCAGAATTTGAAACAGTAATTAGGTCTATACAATACAGAGACGGAAAATGTCATTTTTCACAAAATTTTAAGAAACCACATCAGTCTTATTTCATGTTTTCTCTTTCAGATCCAGATGCTTATCTGAACCCAGACTTCACTGAAATTTTAGACAATATAAATCTAGCACTGTTGTCAGTCAGTCCAAAGTCTCATTATTACAGCGGATTACTCTCTAGGGCATTGCCGTTCCTCTACCTGCATCTACCATCCTGTATTGGAGACAGAGTCATGTCAATAATGGTCAACTGGTTTGACTTTGTACCAAAAGCTTTATCACAACAGCCTAAATCATGTCACTGATTAACAGTTGTTTAACAAATGACAATTAAACATCAACAGTTCCGTTAAATCAAAACACTGATTGAATGATTGATGGCTGTTTAATCAAAATATTGTAACCTCAGGACATGAATAATGGTGCGTAAATAATTTATTACAAAGACATCACTGTGATTATTGGAGAGTGAAATTTTTCATTAGCCACACACATAATATATGGATTTGATGAACAACTAAAACAGTATTGTTTTATTTGTCAAGATATTGTAAGACTGAATTTGTTACCGTTCACAATTTTCAAATCATTTAAATTCAAATAACAATTGATTAAATATTTGTGAAATATCAGAATTGTCTCGAATGAATTTAAAAAAAAATCATGTTCAATATCAAAACCAATACTTAACTGTTATTCTTATAACAATTACAGATGGTGATAAAGGGAGGTAATTACATATCAAATTCAGAGTGGTCAAATAAAAAATGAAACACAAGGACCTTACTTGTTAAGATAAATCATCCTTATGGTCTAATTTTTAAATAAAGAAAAATAGAAAATTTGGAGATACATTCTGTTAATTCCATTTATAGTTTCTAAATCAATTAAATATTGAGTGTTTGTCTTCAAAACGGATAAAAAAAAACATAACATATATGAGTGCCTTTACACAACACTCTTTCTGTGATGAATATTGTTAATCTTATTTTTTGTTTGTGTGTTTTATAATGAAGCTTATGTATTGTCAGAAACACTCTGACACACCAGTACACTTTTGTCAGAAACTCTGACACACCAGTACACTTTTGTCAGAAACTCTGATAGACCAGTACATTTTTGTCAGAAACTCTGATACACCAGTACATTTTTGTCAGAAACTCTGATACACCAGTACACTTTTGTCAGAAACTCTGATACACCAGTACACTTTTGTCAGAAACTCTGACACACCAGTACACTTTTGTCAGAAACTCTGATACACCAGTACATTTTTGCTGGTACTAAACAAAACATTTTATTTTATAACCTATACAAACTAATTCAATATTTCTGAATTGAGATTTTTATGTTTTCATGGTTAAAAATGTCTGTGTATAAGAAATAATTTAAAATAATTTACATTCAAGTTCAATTTAGCTGTTTATATCTAAAAATAACACGACTATTATGTTACACCTCAGACATATGCTAATTTTTGTCTCTTCAAAAAACCTGAATCAAGTATGCCATTGCAAATTTTCTTGTTATTGTATTTTCATCATTTTATTTTGGTGGAAAATATCATTTCCAAAGGTCAAAAGTAAGAATGGGTTCAGAAAGGTTAAAACTTCAGGATGGCCACTTTGCCCTCAATACATAGTAGACATTTTTATAAGACTTGCACATAAAATACACTGATAAAGTGTTAAGCTTTTGTAGTCAATATTTTTACAAAATGTTGGTTTGAATTGAGTGGGTGATTTATGTAAAATGCAAACAGTTGTCTTGAGTTTGTGCTAGTCATAATTAGACATACCGGTAATTTATTTATTTAGTCGTTTTTTTATTTTGTTAAAGATATAATTTATATTATTTGTTGTTATAGTATGTTGAATGTTAAAAATAAAATGTTAAAAAAATTATGATTGTTTGCATAGAAATAACCTTCAGAATGAAACATCAAAGCATTGTCTGAACTTGGATACACAGAAAACTTCAATGCAAAAACTAGTTTGAAACCCTGAAAATGCACATCTTGAATGAGAAAAATCATGAAATTATTTTCTCTAAACAATGTCACCTAGGGGAGATAATTTTCAAGCAAAGGTTTTGTTAACAAAAATTTAACCCTAGCCACTAGTCAAATAAACAAAGCCACAACCATGTTTATCTCCCTTTCAGTAAATTTTTCACATATTAAACACAAATATACTTACATTCAACCCCTGCCTGTCTTTTAACATGATCTACAAACTTGGTCCTTGATGAGAATAGTCCTCCACAGGTTGGACATGCTATCACCTTTTCCTGTGTATGACTACGTAGATGTTCACGTAATTTATACTTATTTTTGGCAACTGTCTCACACCCTACAATAATAATCAAAGAGCTGAAAGCTCTGAGGAAAAATGACGCTACTGTCTCTAATATTGAGATATTTTTTATGCAAGTCTTGATTTTCACATGTCGTAATAAGTTTAACATTGCAACATGTCTCGTAAGCATATAATTGATATTCGTATATGTGTCTGTTTTTTCAGTACAAATGAATAGGTCAAGACTACCTGAATGATCTACAGTATCCAATTACTACTGGCTGTTTTTTTGTATAAATAAATAGGTCAAGACTACCGGAATGATCTACAATATCCAATGACTACTGGCTGTTCTTTTGTACTAATAAAAAGGTCAAGACTATTTGAATGATCTACAATATCCAATGACTACTGGCTGTTCTTTTGTACATATAAATAAAGACTACCTGAATGATCTAAAGTATTCTAAGTAATGTGATTTTTTTCTTGCAATTACATTTTTCTAAATCAAGAATATAGACTACTAGTATCCTTTTCAAACCAAATGATTATGAAGAGCCTGTTGTTAGCAAGCTCTTATACCCCACATACTCGTTAAATAAGTTACTAGTGACCTAGTTATTTCTGTTACTTGAAGCAAATTATATTTCTATATATTTAGACAATAGTATAATATTGTTTTACTAGTTTTATTTCACCTTGAAGATTAGACAAATAGGGATACTCCTTCGATTTTTTATTTCATGTCAGTCAAGTCGCTTTATATGAAACTTGAAACCACTTCTCTGCCATATTGTTATTTTATAACAACTCTGCCCTTGACCATGTTGACCCATGTAATTGATATTCATTCTTTAACCATATATCATAGTCAGTTAGTTTTTGATTTTGCACTCCCACACCACCTTTCATGTCTTTCAGGTCAAATGTCCGTCTCCATTTAAGTTAATGACATTGAACAATCATGGTATTAAACACAATTTCAATAGTGATAATGCTGTTCTCGTGGGTCACCATATATTCAACTTGGGTAGCATTCCAGTTATTGAAATTTGTGTCAGATTAGAACAATGATCTAGATCTTTAGGAATGGATCTTATAATTTAATATGGAGCCATAGTATGGGACCCCTACACGGTAACAAAAAAAAACCAAGCTTGAAAGGATACAATGTCAAGCGGCAAAATCTATCACCAGAGATTACAAGTCAAAAGAGGATGGACGGGATACGTCTCTAAAATGCTTGCTGAACTGGAACTACAGCAAGATCTCCAGACAAGAGTATCTGAGGGGCTGATTCCCGCTATTGAACCATACTGTCATTCTATAATATCATTGCGTAAGTATTTCTGTATTGGCCTTGTTATTGGTCCATGTCTTGGTCCGAGTACACAGTTATCGTCCTTTGATTTTCGTTGTCCACGAATAAAGTCCCTAGTGTGGACAGTGTGTTGCTTGCCAATTTTTTTAGTACCCCTTCCAAATTTATTCCTTCATGTTTTATGCCTCAAATAGCAAGTAGGGGGATGAAATTGCACTGTAAAAAAATTTGGGTCATGAATTGTAAAGTTAAGTAGTGATTTGGTCCAGCTGAAAAAGGTTAAAAATTAGCACTTCGGAAGCTGTCAAAAGATTTCAAGACCCCCTTAACATAGAATTGTCCATATTTTGAGTTAGAGCCGATGAAGTTTTCTATAATTTTGATATGATTTGTCCCAAAAGTAGTACAACACACTGTAAAAATATTATTGAGAAAGCGCAGGTGGGATTTTTTTTATTTTCATTTATTGTCTAAAAGAAATGCACTACGAAATAACTGTGTACTCGGACCCTTGGGTGTATTGGTCTGAGGCGAAGCGGAAGGCCAATACTGCTGGCCGAGGACCAATAATAAGGCCAATACAGAAATACACGTAATAGTATCTTTATTTAAAATTAACTACAGTGTTACAATATTTTTGTTATTTCATTTCACAAGAGATAAACATTTTTACCTTGAAGTGGAACTATCCAAATCGCAGTTTCTTTTTATAAGATGCAATATCTAATGATTCGGTGCCGTTTGAAGTATCTTCAGCCTTTTCTCATCTGATGAATTTTTCTACCCTTTCCAGTCACTATAAAGTGTTACAACTTTAATTTAGACACAACGCATAAATAGTTATTGGAAAGGTACTGCCATTGCATGTGTAATGCAAATATATTTAAAAAAAAAATAATGTAAGAGTTGAAATTGATACAACTATCCATAAGCCAATTGACCAAAGAACGAAGATTTGCACAATTACAGAATGCATATGCCTGGTTCGGGTTTAAAAATAAACGACCGTTTAAATACAAAACATGAGAAGCGACAGTAAACAGTAAAAATCGATTTGTACCATCGACATGATGAAATTATGAGGTCGTCAAGAAATGAACTTTGTGATAATTTACTCGTTCCCCAAACCTGAAATAATCCCATCGTCTACTTTCAATATCCTTTTTAAATGAACGGGACCGTCTTTAACCTAAAATATATGCCATACTGAACGTTTCAGCTTGTTTATGGTGAGTAAACCTGCGTCTTACAAACAACTGTTTACTTTCAGTTTGAGTTTATCGTGACTTACGATCTAAAAACTGGAGACGTTTTGTAAACAAAGATTCATACGCACCGCGTGGGTATAACCGTATTACTAATTTCCGATTTTTAAAATCTTCGTATATCTGGATAAAGACCAGTTTCTATCCAATGGATATCAAAATGATTCCGATTTTCACTTTTTTTAATGATTGTAAAGTTGAAATGGCATGAAAGGCTGACATTATTTAGGAGAACTATTTTGTCTAGCGATTGCTGATCATTGGAGGGTAAAAAGTCCAACACCATAACAAAACGGATCTATTTATCATGTATACATACAGATTGTTTACGATTGTAAGACATGTGCATAAAAGTGAAAGCTCGAATAAATATGAAAAATATAACAAAGGGATAGCTCCAAATACCATTTAATAACAAAAAACATATGGACAGGTCAAGATATCTTTTTGGTAAATAAAATAAAGTATGTAAACTGGTTCCCGTCCGACTACAACACTTTGTTCGTGTGTAGCGTAATACAAGCAGATTCCAGTTAGTATGTAAAATAGTAAATATGAAACCGAGTGCGGTAGGCGGAGGCAATAATCGACTTCCGTAAGTTCTGGTCAATGGTATCGGAAACATGCCGCTGATAGCGTCATTTTCCAAAAAACAAGTCAGTCAGTCAGAATGCCTCCTGGATTTCTTATATTGAGACTGAGAAAGATCTTTTATTCATGGTTTCCAGTTTTCAGGTTTAGTACAAATATTATTGCTCCATGGGTTTTCCGGTTTGTAGTTTCAGATTTGGAACATTACAGATGAATCAGGATAGGAATAATAAAAAGATGCTGGATACATGATATATGTTAATGAAACAGCAACCCTAAAACAAAATAAAACCAGGAAAAAAAAAACTCTGCAAAACTCTTTTTCAAAATCAGTTGCATTCTTGGTTATATTTTGAAAAGTGTTCACATATAAACATTGTGATCGGTTAGTGTCTTTACAAATAGATATTCAACCCATGGTGTTACTTTAATTCATTTTTGGTGTATGAACAATGAAATTACCAACAATCATCAAGATTTGATTTTTGATTAGATCCAATTGTATCAAATATAGAGACTACCAAGTCATGAGTTTAAATGAAAATAAAGTATCCATAACAATTCTAATTGGTCACCAAAATTTCAAAGCAAATTCAATCCATCTTTTTTTTCTTTACTATCTGTGAGATTTACTATGATATATGCAATGATTGTGATTTTGGTACATTATTTATGAAATTGCTATCTAAGTATACTAAAACTAACTGGCAAACATAAGAAGGTAACATATTATTTCACTATCAGGGATAAAGTGCCTTAAACTGCTTTGTTAACTGTTAGCATCCTTTAACAAAGTTTTCCCACCAAGCTGTGTTATTGTTTTCTGCTGTTGTGATATAACCGAGAATTGCATGTCCTTGACAAATTCTAAATGTGTTTTTCTTTTAACCTTTTGTTTTCATACTGATTGAGATGATAAGGAGAGTGGATACAGTTCTTACAATACTAGTTTAGCTCATGACATTTTGTTCATGCCCCTATCAAAAATCAGGATCAGTCGTTGTGATTGTTGCTTGTTAAATATATGTTGCTTTAGAAATTTGGTGCTGATGGCAGATTAGGAAAGAACAATTAAGTAATTGTAAAAAAACAAGAGTGCATGATTTGTCGTGCTATACATATCTCATTTGTTATTCAGAGTATAACAAAACAGGAAGTAGGTGTTTGACAGATCACTGTTGATCTGCTGACTAAATATGAAGTCATTCTGTTCACTAATTTATGAGAAAAGTGTGACAAAAAATGTTAAGTTCATTCAGCATATATACTGAAAAATTCAAAGTATCAGAAAACAGGAAGTAAGTATCTGATAGATCTGAAAAGTGCCCACACGTTACAACACATCATCACTAGTGAGCTGCTGACCAACTATTACTAGTTTCTTAGAAAAAAGGGACAGAATTATTTGATGGATGAGCAGACAGAAGAACAGCTGGACAGATATAGCAATATAGTCCATACTTTTAGAGTGAGGTATGATAAATATAATGTATATTAGTTCTTTAGTAACTTGTAAACATTACCTTCCCATTCACACCTAGCTCCGTGTTCTAAATTGTTACCCTCAGGAAATGTCTCTGAATGGTTATCTACATGGCGGTAAAATATCTCTGGATTGTCAATTATTGTCTAAAACATAAATGTAGGAAAAATGAAAGTTGTATTTTAGTTCTACTCTTCTCAGGGTAAATAAAAGCAACTTATATTGTCACTTTAAAAGTTTGCATTTACAACCAAGAACTGGTAGACCTTTTCTAATGTCAGCGATTTATAATTGATCAAAAACATATTCCCCTAAGTACTTAATATTATTTTAAAATATTGTAACTGGTAGAGATCCAATACACATAACTTAAGTTACCAGTTTGCTTATTTGTAAATCTTAATTAGTGGAATTTTTGTATATATCTAGATCTTGTATTGATGATCAGTTTTACTGTTTAAAGTTTTTATCTATCCATGAAACTTTTCAATATGATTTGCAAAATTATAAAAATTAGTAAAATTAAAGTGATGCCACCAAAATTCAAACTTGATCTGTGTTTTGTGGTAATAAGCATTGTGTATAAGTTTCATAACATTTGGTTGAGGCAAACTTAAGTTAGAGAACGGAAACTAAAAATTTTGCAATTTTTCCATTTATAAAGGGACATAACTCTAGAACGGATAAAGTGACAACACCAAAATTCAAACTTGATCTGTGTTTTGTGGTAATAAGCATTGTGTATAAGTTTCATAACATTTGGTTGAGGCAAACTTAAGTTAGAGAATGGAAACTAAAAATTTTGCAATTTTTCCATTAAAAAGGTGCATAACTCTAGAACGGTTAAAGTGACGCCACCAAAATTCAAATTTGATCTGTGTTTTGTGGTAATAAGCATTGTGTATAAGTTTCATAACATTTGGTTGAGGCAAACTTAAGTTAGAGATTGGAAACTAAATATTTTGCAATTTTTCCATTAAAAAGGTGCATAACTCTAGAACGGTTAAAGTGACGCCACCAAAATTCAAATTTGATCTGTTTTTTGTGGTAATAAGCATTGTGTATAAGTTTCATAACATTTGGTTGAGGCAAACTTAAGTTAGAGAACGGAAACTAAAAATTTTGCAATTTTTCCATTTATAAAGGGGCATAACTCTAGAACGGTTAAAGTGAAGCCACCAAAATTCAAATTTGATCTGTGTTTTGTGGTAATAAGCATTGTGTATAAGTTTCATAACATTTGGTTGAGGCAAACTTAAGTTAGAGAACGGAAACTAAAAATTTTGCAATTTTTCCATTTATAAAGGGGCATAACTCTAGAACGGTTAAAGTGAAGCCACCAAAATTCAAACTTGATCTGTGTTTTGTAGTATAAGCATTGTGTATAAGTTTCATAACATTTGGTTGAGGCAAACTTAAGTTAGAGAACAGAAACCAATTTTGGGACATACGGACGGATGTACGTACGTACGTATAGACGGACAAGGGTAAAACTTAATGCCCCCACCGCTATGGCGGGGGCATAAAAATCATCACTGTAGGGCAATAAATCCGATCAGGAGTCGATTGACAATTTAAACAATGTTTGACTTATTTGAAGATCTTTTTGTACTTAACATTTTTAATATTTACAATTTCTGCAAAAATAGGTAGAAATCATTTATATACCCTTGTCAGTTTTGCTCCATCTTATTTGGTTTTTGAGATATATGCCAAAAACTGCAATTTACCCCTATGTATTATATTTTGCAACAGTAGCAATATCTGTTGATTGATCAAATCCCATGATATAATATTCAAACTAGATTCCCGAAGGAACATTCAGTTTAACTTTGGTAACAATTAGCCTAGTAGTTCCAGAGAAGAAGATTTTTTTTAAATTTTACGATGACAGATGCCAAGTGAGGCAAATATCTCAAATACACCCTTTGGGCCAGGTGAGCTTAAAATGATGTATATTAGATCTTATTTCATCTGAAATAACCTGCATTTCAGATTGAGATGTATTCATTATTACAAAACAAACTGTTAATACAGAGATATGTCTAGCCTGATAGTAAAATGCAAATGTTAAAATTAAAATGGCAATACCTTATCTTGTAAACTATGCAAAACATTCAAAGTCAATGAACCATGACTGAAGGTGCATGGCTATATAGTCTACCTGGAAACAAGATATGCTACTGATAAGGAGAGGGTTTTCTAAATTGTGGGTTTACGGATCCGGAAATCCAATCGGATTTTAAGAAGAAAAAAAATTGAAATTGAAAATTCATGCTTTTATAATTCTCCATTATAAGCTACTCTACCTAATTCATTATACCTGAAATATTAATGAATATATCATAATAGCGGCATTTACCTCAAATTATGTGCATTATTGTATCATATCTATAAAACATAATCAGAAATGATAACACATCGTCCTTTGTGTTCAATAAAAATCTCAAAATAATCTATTGCCGTTGTGTTCTTAAAAACAAAATTCTAAAAATAGACAATAGAAGAGATATGTAAATGTGGTATGAGCAAATAATTTTACTGAACAAAAACTATGTTCATAGCTCTTTACAATAAGTTTGTTTTCCTTTTTTGTCATACTTCTGTAAAATTTTAGTTTGAACCATTTTAGGATTAGCTGTTTCATCCTCATAAATGAATTTGACCCATCCAAAAGGGAAAGACATTAAGTAAGTAATAGAAATGACCACAAACAATTTGGAGTTTTCTTGTTTCCTAGGTTGTATGAAAATTTTTAGTCCATTTAGATATCAAAAGCAGGTTTATCTGGCAAAAAGGAAACTACCAATATCGGCATCTTTCACATTGGACAGATCTACTTAGCAGGTGGTGAACGGTTATTTTCATGTACTGTGTCTGCAATATTTTTTCACTTGATTTCCTGCTTGAAGCTTATTTTTCAGCGTGACTAGGAACAATTATGCAAATCTCAAATTTTCAATTTTTCAAATCTTAATGCATGAAACATTAATGTTATTTAGCTTAACCATCAATAGTACCCTAATATCACTCCCAGTTTGATTTGAGTGTGTATTGATCATGATGGCGTGTTACTTAAAATTTATCGGGTTCAGATCTTGAACTCTGAATTTAAATTGTTTTATCCTCCAATTAACTCTTATTACAAATACAACCGCAGCAATACAAAATATTCTCACAGTGGGACTCTGGATTTGAGTTAATAGTTTTGTCTGAGATATTATTCTGCTCTTTGCTAAATTGGAAATAATAACAAGACTGTTCTTATAATAGATAATAATTCTAATATCATTTGCATATATCTACAAATACTTGAATCAGATTGGTTCGTTAGAAATTTTTCCTTAGGTTTACACTTTCATAAACCAGGTTGCCGAAACTACTTTCATAACCTTCACTATGATCTATTCATGCGCGATATACATGCATGGGATCCAGGGGTTCTAAGCAAATTTAGATTAAAAAACAAATACATAACTATTATTTCTTTTTTTTAACGCATGACAAAATGAAATAATGCATTTATAAAGCATGGAAAACAAATGGAAAATGTAGGGAATTGATGTAAAATTAAATTCTGTGAAATATGATGAATGATCTTGGCGCATTAACGTCATGGCATAACATGATGTCATACAAATGAAAACTGAAAAGCTGAAGATTATTCCGTTACTTTTACGGTTCAAATTCAGATAACATCTTTTCAAAATGAAGTTTTTTTAGGTAGGTGTTATTTCATTTTAGATTTGTTTTTTTTAAATGCATTAATCATTAACATGATTAACATTTATGGATTTACGAAAGTCAGTATGGCGGTTCACTCCTTAGTTACGACATGTCAATTGTTCATTTGATGGTAAATAGTAGCATATGAATAAAATTTGTTGATTAAAAATTGCAAATCTTCGGCTTAAGAATTATAAGGATTAAACACATTTTTTCTAGAGGTTATTGATGTGTAAACTTGGACTTTTCTTCAGTTTGTGAGTAAATCGTCCCAGTTTACACATCAATTACCTCTAGAAAAATGTGTTTAATCCTATAATAAAGAGTTGTTTTTGCCGACCTGATAATATTTATGAGACTGAATGTGTATTTCTTATACCTCACCTCACACATATTCCATCCACATTGAAGTCTCTCTGGTAATTCTGGTATCAAATTACGACTTTGGTTCTCTAACAAGCATCCCCTTAAATTCATCTTACGTATCATCTGCTCTCCTATATTCTTTATTTTGACATGAAAACAATGGAAGTAGGCATGGCGTAGAAAATCTGTTCTACGTCCTTGGACCATTGTGTTGCATTCTCTCCACTCACATGGGAACTCTCCGTCTGAAATGTAAACAGAAGTCTTCTATATTACATAGAAACTATATCATGCATATATACTACCTAAAGGATCATTCATTACATTTAGAAGGCACATATATTACCAAGTAGTAGACATATTCCTATAAAAAAGAAACATGGCAATGCATAAAGCTTAAGTTTCATTTCTTTTCTTTTTTGTGGGCGAGGGGTCGTAAAGAAAATATAAACATCTGCCAACTTGGAACTATTTGAAAGTAAGCTTATTGTTGACAAAAGGTGGTTCTGTTGTACAACTAATAACCATGGTATCTTTGACAAATTCCAACATAACAACAGTGTAAAGTTTCAAATATATCAATCAAAGCATACATGTATATTGTAGTCTGAAAATTGTGAAAAATCGGATAAAATATGATGGTTAAATTGTCATGCCATATGTTCATAAATTCTGATAAAACTACAATGATAGTATATATATGATAAAAGGTACAAGATAAAAACTGTGTTTCTATCAAGCAGAACCAAGTCTAGCTATTGAGAATAATATTCTTCAAAAATCATCAATTGAAAAACTTTTAGTGTTAGAATTGACTCTAATCTATCATGTTAATTACTTATGTTCATCAATATCATCTAGTCTCTATTTTCTCTCTAAGATTAAGAAAAGAAACCTAATGAGAAAAGAAACCTAATGAAGTGGATTTAGGCAAACATAGGTCACCATACAGCCTTCAACAATGAGCAAAATCCATACCATATAGTGAACTATAAAAGCCCAAACATGACAAAATGTGAAACAAACGAAAAAACCAATGACAGTTGTTGTTTGTTTAATATGAAATCATTTATGATCCCTTGCACTGATTTAGAAATGCAAATTTTTACATCATAAACAAAGATAGTAGGACAATATGAAACTTGAACACCTTAACCTCTAGTATTATTTGAAAGGGGTTCGTATTGCTTTGTCTGTAGACTCAGTTATTCATTGTTGTATTTTAGAGTATTTTACTTTTTAATGTTTTTGTTGTTTCTACTGGTAAATCCTCTCTATCGTTTGTTCTGGAAAACATATTTTTCATTTCCAAGTAATGTGGATTCATTACCATTTGTGTTTGAGGAATGCCATTTGTTTGAGGGATACCATTTGTGTTTGAGGGATAGGATACCATTTGTGTTTGAGGGATACCAATTGTGTTTGAGGGATACCAATTGTGTTTGAGGGATACCAATTGTGTTTGAGGGATACCATTTGTGTTTGAGGTATACCAATTGTGTTTGAGGGATACCAATTGTGTTTGAGGGATACCAATTGTGTTTGAGGGATACCATTTGTGTTTGAGGGATACCAATTGTGTTTGAGGGATACCAATTGTGTTTGAGGGATACCAATTGTGTTCGAGAGATACCAATTGTGTTTGAGGGATACCATTTGTGTTTGAGGGATACCATTTGTGTTTGAGGGATACCATTTGTGTTTGAGGGATACCAATTGTGTTTGAGGGATACCAATTGTGTTTGAGGGATACCATTCGTGTTTAAGGGATACCAATTGTGTTTGAGGGATACCAATTGTGTTTGAGGGATACCATTTGTGTTTGAGGGATACCATTTGTGTTTGAGGGATACCAATTATTGAAGATTTCATGGGTATAAGTAAACTACAAATGTTCAAATGAAGTACAAATTTTTTATAGGCTTGTATGCAGATTTTCGCAAAACCACCAAAATACGATTTTTCCTCAATTCACGGGAATTGGTAGCCACGAAAATAATTGAATCAGCAATATCACATTTAGTCATGTTTTAATGTTAGAGAATTTACATTCATTGATGGTTTATAAAATTGAGGATGTCTAAGGAATAACAACAATAACCAAAGAGAAAACTGACATGTCAGCAAGGGCCCCACTTGCACATTTTTATGAGAGGCAAATAGACAGATGCATAGAAAGCAAATGTTCATAAGTTGCCAATTTTCATAAATTTTGACAACAGCAATTAATTCAGGATGTGATCTTGATTAATATATGTTTTGTTAAAATCCAAGCACTAGGTATTTTGGTTGGCATTTTTCATAAATGGTGGGCAACCCTTAATTTTGACGGAGTATGATTTTGTATTAGCAAATAATATCTTTTTCGTTCAAATCCTAGCAAAAAATATGATTCTCAGTATTTATCATTTTTTAACAAAAATTAAGTTTTTTAAACAAATTTTGACTTGAGGAAACAATTTGGAATGCATATTATGCCTATATTATATATATATCAATTTTTGATGACATCCTACTGCAAGAGGGTGCCTCTCAAAATTTGTGATTTTATAACAAAAAGTAAGTTTTTTTTTCAATTTGTAAATCACTTCCCTAAAATTCATTTTTGATAAAATCATATTAACAGAAGACATTCCGTAACAATTTATTTTTTTACAAAAACTAAGTTTTTTTCCAAAATTGATGCGAATTTCACCAAAATATAACATACATATCTACATATCATGCACAGATGTGCATAATTTCAGCTGCCTCCTACATATACTTTTGGAATTTTTGCGTTTACAATAGACATTTCTCAAAATTTGTGATTTTTAACACAAAGTAAGTTTTTTACGAAATTAATGAGCAGAATTTCACCAAAATATAATATGCACAACTACATATTATGCACAACAACTTTTGTTGACAGACAGAGACAGACAAAGTGAAAACTCTATTGTATGTTAGGCCAAAAGAAAATACATGTCTGTTTACAGCTACCCAACCGACCCTAATTTGAGCGCAGACCCTTAGTCATTTTATTACCGTCGTTAAGTGAAAAATTAACTGAACTCGGTCAAAAGCGAAGTTAGAATTGCCAATAAGTATAATCAATTGCCTGATACATCTCAATGTTCACAATTGTGAATATGACATCTGCTTTAAGGAAACTCATGTGATGGAATAAAACTTTGCAGTCATTTTTTTTCAAACTAATAACCAAGCGAAATAATCCAATCATTAAAAATACGGGTAAACTCGGACCACGGCAAGACGTACCGCACAACTCAAAATCATGTTGGAAAAAAATAAAATGGAAATACCGACCTACCTACCCTATTTTTTTTATGATGTAACCTTAAACAAACATATATTTTTTGGGGCTTATCTAAATCTGCAGATATGACTCATCAAAATATTTTAACACTTTTGTTGTTTTCTGTGCAATGTTTTGTAAACTTATGTTTGTCTTATGTTCGTTTTTCTTTGTCTTAAGGTTCTTTACTGCCTTTTACGATTTTTTTTTTTAAATGGCCATTTTTCTGAAAAAATTGATATGCCATAAGAATATAAGGTTAGTTAAGTGTTACAACTATAGGTAAGATACCTGTATTAGGATCATCCCTTCCAACTTCATAATGATGTCCTATAAGATGTTGACTCATGTGAGATAAGAATTCCTCCATATTATTAAACTGATGAGAGCATTCTCCCCATTCACACAGTAACAGCAGTTCAGACATTAGAATCTTTGTCTCTTTGGTATTAGGTTTGGGAGGCATTTTCTTCTATTTGCTCTGTAATGTAAAAATACAGTTTAACCAGACATTCATAATCTATAATACTAAAGGGGGGATTTTAACTAATTTTTGGGAAAGAGTCTGACTCAAACTGAAAGAGATATAGTTTAGGTTGTACAGAATGTTTCTCACATGAGCATATTTACTCTACAGGCAAAAATTTTTTTGACATCACAAATATTCATACATGTACTACTAAGGCACTTATATGCAAAAATGTATCCAGTTGCATATGACTATTGTCACATGATAGTATAGCTTGCAAATTTCACCCTTCCAGATCCTTTTGTATTCCACTTTATTTAATATTACTGACACAAAGCAAATAAAATCTTCTTACTGATCACTTTTAATGTGTTTTGTGTTTTCACTCTTTGCCCTGACAAATGCTAGAGGGAAAATTCAAATATGCCAAATATTAAAAAAAAAAACATTTCTTCAAAATTATACTGAAACTGAGGTTTCAACTCCCTCAGGCAAAGTTGGCCTTAGATGGATTTGGCTATTTTTTAGGTCCTTTTTGGTTTATAGCTCTGCAACGTTTTTGGTTTTTGGATACATCCTTGACTTTCAAATATTCGGCTTTGAGCGTTCCTGATGAAAGTAAATCCAGAAAAGTGCTTCGGACGCATCAAATTTATAACGTGTTGTTTTCATTTTTTTTCAAACACGTTTTAAATATCCATGATATTTTTAGAGTTTAGTAGCCTCATGCACTTCCAATAAATAGTTTCTATTTCCTTTTATTTCACATTCTCAACAAACAAAAACATATTGTTAAAGGAAATTGCTGATAAAAAGAACAATGGCATTTTATTTTTTGCTAGTGACTTCATATATCAGATATTCTTGCTGATAAAGTCAGTATAAAATAAAAATGTGATTATTCTATATGTACATGATGTATATGTAAGTTAAGTTGGCCATCATATGTTATTTGATTCAAACAATTGATATATTAGTTTTAATTAGAACTGGATGGACTATGCGATATTTTGGTGTAAAAAATATAAAAATAAAGCCAATATAATTTAAACTTATAAGCAAAATATACTTCCACAGTATTTATAGAGATGGGGGACGGAACGAAATTTGATTTCAATCAATTCTTTAACATATCTCACTCACAAAAAAAAGCTGTCATAATTCTCATGTCTTCAAATGTTTTATTTAAGGATAAGGTATAAGCACACGCTATACTAACAAACTACATGCAATAGTTATTTATTCAGAAACGAATTAAAAAAAAAAAGTTACTAAATGTATTTAGTGTGAACAACTATTTTAAAGCATTGAAAATAGCCATGGTAAAATCCATTAGACGACCGTGATTGTGAGCAGAAACGACCCGGTTTCCATATGGCCAGATGGAGCTATTTAAGCAAAAACTGTGGGAATGAGCAAGTTGAAGCAACACAACACGATGACTAATTCATCTTCAAGAAGCGACAAGAAAATCAAGAACTGTAAATTAACTATTTCAAATAAATAAACATGCAATACAATGCTTTTTTTATATACATGTATTAAAGTGATTTTCAATGCTTCATTATACAAATAGCAGTTGCTTAGGGCATGGGTTCCCCTTTTTCTTTTTTTTTAATTCAAATTTATTTTAGTAAAGATTCTTTAATATTTCAACTTATATTCACTTTAATATTCAATTAACATGTATTCTTACTTTTAAACTGAGTTTTACTGTGCATATTGCTATGTGTTTGTTTATTCCACATCCGCTAGAGGTATACATGTAGGAGAGGGTTGAGATCTTATAAAACATGTTTAACCCCGCCTCATTTTTGTCCCTGTCCCAAGTCAGGAACCTTAAGCCTTTTGCCTTGTGTGTTTTTTAAATTTTGGTTCATTAATGTTTCGGAGTTTAGTGTGGCATCCATTTCACTGAATTGGTATACATTATTGTTAAGGGACCAGCTAAAGCCTGCCTCCAGTGAAGGATTTTCCTTCTGCGTGAAGACCCTTTGGTAGCCTTGGGCTGATTTTCTGCTCTTTGGTCAGGTTGTTGTCTCTGGCACATTCCGTTTCCATTCTCAATTAAATTGCTCTTACCCATTTATACTATATTACAGAGGTTAATATAAGATCAAGTCATGACCTTTTTTCTTTGTCCAAGAAAAGCAATATGTGTGTCCCCAGTTTTAATACTGAAACAACATCCAAGTACTAAATGTAGAACACACACCAGATTATACAGTCATTGTAAATAGAAAACGTGTTGAAAACTCAACAATCATTATAAATCACTAACTTGAATTGTGTCTTTAATTACTTTTAATCTCAAACAAGTAATGAATCATATTTAAATATCTTTCAATGACACAATACACATACAATTAGGCACCAAATAAAAGTATGCATGTTTAATAATGTTTCAGTTTCACTGTGTTTGATTCTATTTAATTTAGTTTATTGTATATCGCATATGTTTTATTTTTTCTTATGTTCTATCTTTATTCTTGAATTAATCGTCTTTAATTTATTGACTTTTTATATAAATTTATTTGTTTCAATAGTATGTAAACCTTCTTAAGGTTAAATTTTTCTTCTTGTCGCTAAATTATTTGTCCTTGTCACAAATTAGTTAGACCTCAAACTGCAAGTGTACAGGACTTGGTAATTGCATATATGTTCACTCTTTGGGATATTTATATGTCATATCTGACAATGACTAATTTATGGTTACCATGGTTACACACTCTCACCTTACATATAAAAGAGGTTTCAAATTTTGTCATTTTGGGGAATTATTATATGGCAATTAAAAGCTTGACATGTTGAATCTAGACACCAGTTCATTACTGAAGACCTCTATTCAAATATCTGGGTTTCTTGTAGTTTAGTTGCCTCAAATGACCAGGGCTCAAGCTAGTGGACAACTGGGGCAAAGAAGTCACTTTCCCATCCGTCACATTGCTTTGCCTGACCGTCAATAGCTATATCTAGTCAACAGGGTGGTCACAATAGTAGCTGTCAGTCGTTTTCGTTATCAGCAATTTTCCATTTTTAACAAGTCGATGAAACAGCAATTTTTCATTTATAAGTAAAGATATTCAAAGAGATTTATTTCTTTAGAAAAGAGGTGAAAACTTTGACTTTACAGATTGGACGTATGTTATTTCAAACAAACAACTTTAAAAGTTTTTTTTTTTTCATTTCCGTAACTTGAGCGTATATCAAAACATTCTGATTTTTGGCATAACAAGTTTGTAACTTCATTAGAATGTGATGTCTTTAGTTTGTGTTTCATCCATTTATTGCATTAACAGTCAGGGGTAACACTTATACAAGTCAATTTTATTTCTTGAAGATATAATATTTACTTGTTTTAGTAAATTTGTAAGATTTTTATCTTATTTTCAAGGTTTGAATAGTCTCCCCTTAATCTTCTCCAAAAATTTACTTAAAATGCAAGTAATTTTCTTTTACAACCCCTTACATATGTATATTTTCAAGTTTTGAGAGGTCAAAACATGCTTTTACAATATTTTTTCTGGTTTGCTAATTAATTTTTAAATAGAATTCAACCTTTTATCTCAAGAACTAAACAAAGAAGTCTATTGTGCACAGATGTTAAGTAACTGTGCATCGCCTCCAAATATTAATTGCTCCCTGAACAATATTTTGAAGATAACAGACAAATGAGATTTTCATTGTCCGTGAAATTATGCTTTTATGAAAAGTAAATACAACTATTAATGACAGAAAATTAAAAACTCCAGTAGAGCAATAGTCAATAGAAGTTCAAGAAAAGAAAATAAGACTTTTTTACTTACATAAGTAAAAAATAGCTGAATGTCTAAGGGGTGTAACTCTACCTCCAAAATAAATTACCTGCACCAGTAAATAAAAGGCACTTATATAAGTATTACCCCTGACTGATTAAAAGCATAAATTCCTTTCCAAATCACTTGTCAAACATAGTTTATTTTCGTAAATTTTTCTTTGTCCGCCATTGAAATATTTGTATGAACCATGCAGGGCCTAATCTAGGATTTTGGAGAGGGGAGAAGTGACTTCTCCTTCCATGAGAGAGTAGGGAGAGGTGGTCTATTTCTTGGAGAAGTGAAATTCCATTACCGTTTCGGTTGCATAGTGTTTTAGTGCTTGTCACTGAGGAAATTATGCAATAAAAAATATACATGTGTCACCAAGGTCCCACAGAGCACTGTTAGATAAGGGGGAGCTAACTCGTATGTGCTGGAACCAAGGGACAGGGGGTCAGTCTATCGCTAGACTTAATGTTCTGATAGGCATAGCTAAAACGCAAGGAAGGTTTTCATAATTTAATTTACGATAACAATTTAGATGAATAATGATAACAATCAATTAGTAAACAATGCCAAATAATATTAATAATTAAAGTACAAAGTATCAAATCTAAATATCAAATCCAAAGTAAAACTATTTCTCCTTACAATGTAAAATGTAAAATAAATGCCAAAACTACTAAATCATAAAATGAACTTAATCTCAAAATCAAATGTAAAAGTCTCAAAAATAAAAGATTCCCAAAAGTATTTTCCAAAGTTAAATTATGAGTCAGAGATAAATTTTGTCTCAACACTACACAGTCAACTGGTAGACTGGTAGACAGTCTTATAGGTCCAGTATCATGACGTGAGTAGTGAGAGGTTACGGTTCCGAAACACTGACTGCTTTTACAAAATTTCACAACGCTATTTATACTAAATCCAAAAATAAATAAATATGTCTCGACATGTTATTACTCTCATTAGCAAAAATAGACTTTAATTAACAAAGCCTAATCCTATAATGTTTTGATAAAATCTTAAACTTTCAAAATGACATATGCTAATTACAATTAATATTTCAAATCAAAGTGCTTTGAGCAAACTGTGACATTTCGAGTACTAATGCCACTACATAGGTAAAATTAATTAAACAAATTAATTAAAAATTTTACAAAATACAAACTTAAAATTTTCTTTCTAAAAGATAAAACATATTTTTTATCCAAA